AAGAGCCTCAGGAGAGAGGAGAGCGCCTCATTGGCATTCCATCCACATCCTAGTCTGCCACGTACAGTCTGGCTTATTTCCATTTATTATTTCACCTTGTGAAGTACAACTCATTTTATTTCATGGCTCAAATTAGCTCAGAAGAAAATGCGAATGAGATTGCTCTAAAAATATTTTTGGGAAATAGCTACTTGTCGAAATACATGTTTATGGCTACCCCCACCACCCCAGTAGCCCCGAGTCCCCATCTCCCTGCTCACTGGATATGTAGATGACTGGAAGATGGTGACCAAAATAGCCACCTTACTGAATAACCACACTTCTCCTCCTGCACCCAAGAGCCCATCGCTCACGAACGCTCACATGTGTTCAAGTCATCCTATTAGTTTGCCATCAACGGCCCCAAAGAACTTATGGCATGTGAGCCAGTTCACTTTCATTTGGAGAATTCTTTTAAAACATTTAAACGAGCCCCAGAAGCCCCCCAAGAGAAAGCACAGTTTACCTTTGCCCTTCTTAACATCTGTCCACAACCAGTCTCAGAGACAAAGGTCGGAAAGACCATATTCTCCCATTTCATCGGAGCTCAGCTTTTATAAACAATATCTTCCAAAAATAATAATAACTGCCTAATTATAAATTTGTCCAGGTATTTTACAAAGTACAAATTTTGCCTTTTTAAATGTAACAAAGAAATTATGAAGAAAAAAACCGAGTTGATTATGTGAAATGAAAATTTGCATACTCCCAAAAAGATCATAATCAAGATCAAAAGGCGAAAGAAAAACTTAAAAAAAAAATACTGACCACATGGCAACATATATAACCAGTTAAAATGTTAATATCCTGACAATTAACAAAACATAGATAAACACCCCAATTTTTAAAAATAAATGAAGATATACAAGCAAACCCTGAAAGAAAATATATAAATGCCCAATACAGCATGCCATTTTAAAATAGGCAAAATTTATAAATGAAAATGAAAATGAAATTTCATTTTTCTCTTTCAAAGCAGATTTTTTCTAAAGGGTAATACCCAATAAAGCTTTCCCTAAAGTGGATACACTTTCACGTGGCTGCTGGGAGTGCAAACTGGTACAGTCTTTCTGGAGAATCATTTCACAACTTGCCCCAAAGCTTTAAAAATGTTTCTATTGAGGGGATCATAACTCTCCACTCCCCAAGTGTGGCTGCTCACAGTACTTGCAAAGAGTACAGAAGAGAAAGGTAAGGGGGACCCCTTTCCACTTGAGCGACCTCACACACACTACGTCAGCCAGGTGATCAAGGTCAGTATCAGCAGTTTTAAATTATGTTGATAGTATGTATTCTTAATATGATGTAATAAAAATGCTACATTACCTCTGCGACTTTCCTCTCAAAAACCCATAACCCCAATCTAATCATAAGAGACACATCAGACAAATCCCATTTGAGGGACAACCTACCATATGACCGGCAGTTCTCAAAACTGTCAAGATCATCGAAAGCAAGGCCAGTTGGAGAAGCCATCACAGCCAACAGGAGCCTGAGGAATATATTTTGTTGGCTATTATTATAACAGCTAACAGGAGCCTGATATATTCAGCTATTTTTTTTTCAGTGACCTTTTGAACATGGAGCCTAGTTTCTCTCTCCTTAAATCTGAACTCTACTTAGGAACTAGCGTCTAAAGAAACAGAATGTGGAGAATGTGAAAGAGTATGGCTTCTAACATTAGGAGAGAGTGGCCTGCTCCTTGCTCTCTCTTGACCTGCTTGCTCTGGGTGAAGCCAGCTGCCATGTTGGGAGGACACTCAAGTAGCCTCATGGAGAAGTCCATGTGACAAGGAACTGAGGCCTTCTGCAAACACCCAGCAAAGGATCGAGGCCTCTGTCAACAGCCATGTGAATGGTGTACCTTGGAAGCTAATCAACCAGCCCCAGTCAAGCCTGCAGGTGACTGCACCCCTGGCTGACGTCCCGACTGCAGCCTCATGAAAAACCCCTAGCTTCCACCACCCAGCGAGCCACTCCCAAATGCTAACCCACAAAAACAGTTTTCATAATGAGATCATGCTTGCCATTTTAATATGCTAAATTTGGGGGTAATTTGTCATGTAACAATAGAAAACTAATACAGGGCTCTCTTAGGCACCAAGTGAAGCATACAATACTGCCTTTTAGTTCAGGGTGTGTGTGTATTCACATACATAGAACACAGTGCACAACTGATGTGTACAACTCAAGGAATTTTTACTTATGCGCATACCCATGTAACCACTACCCAGGTCAACATACAGAGCATTTTCATTGCTCTAAGAAATTCCCTCAAGCCCATGTCCACTCACTGACTTTCCCAGAGGGAGCCACTTTCCTGAGTTCTGTAACTAGAGGCTAGTTTCGTGTGCTCCTGAACTTCATGTAGACGGAATCATGCAGTGTAGTGGGTGTCATGGCTGCCTTTTTTCTCACTCAGCATAATAAAATTTAAATTTAGGTCATTGCATATTTCAATAGTTTCTTCCTTTTGTTGCTGAGAAGTATTCTACTGTACAGTTATGCCTAATTTATTTCCGTGTTGACAGGCACTTGAATTGTTTCCAATTTGAGGCCACTATAAATAATGCTAATATGAATATTCCCGTGCCAATCCCTTTTGTAGGCCCATATATTCAATACTCTTGGGTAAAGGCTCAGGCGCAGAATTGATGGGTCATAAGGTGGGTGTATGTTTAACTGTCAACTCGTTTTCCAGAGCGGTTGGGTCATTTTACAACCCCACTCACAGTATTTTTTTTTCATTTGAAGCAGACCTAGTTTGAAAAGAAAGAAAAACAAAAGTCGGTCATAGTGAAAAATGAGTAGCAATGAATAAAGAGCTTCCTAAACTATTTGGAAGAGGCAAGAAAAGCAGCCTATCAGGCACAGAGCCATCTGACAACTGTACGTCCCGGCAAACACTTTTATTTTGATCATTGGTTTAGAAATAACTTTTGCCGCTTAGATCAAAGGTTTTTTTACAAAGTCTATTCAAGCAGGGACCCAAATCCTGAGGGGAGAAGAATTTACATAGAGAACCCCTGTGTTAAGTGGAAGAGGAGAGAATCTTCCCTCCCAGTGCTCTTGTTTACTGGGCCAGCCAGCAAAGTGGCAGGTGACTCCTAACACAGCGCACCCCCGACGCTGAGTCAGCTTTGCGGCTCCCCTGAGTTCTGTTGGAAACAAACAGATTGGAGAACTTTATTAAGGGTGCACTCTGGGCCGCCACAGGCTTCAGGCTCTGAGCACAGGTCCAGTAGCCTGTCTCCAGCTTGCTCATGGCAAACGAGCTATTTCCCAGTCCTTTCTGTTTCTGAAACTGTCCAGACACCCACGGGGTTATTTTCATTGGTGGTCCAGACCTCACTAAGAGAAAACAAAAACTATAAAGCCAGAGTATTAACGCCAATCCCAGCAACTTCAGGAGATGCTTGATAATTTCTAGTAGGAAACTTAAAAATTGCTACAAGCTGTAGGTCCAAAAGTGGGAAATGGTTAAGATAAAAGCTCCTCTTCCTCCTTCTGTCAGTGGGAATGTGGTTGAAGAGCAGAGAAGGGACACAAGGAGGCCTAGAGAAGCCCCGTGGCGCAGTGTGCTGAGCAGAGGGCCATCCTGCACAGACGGAGAAGGGCAACGACCCCCTGATCCCAGGGGTCCCCGCCACAGGGAGACAATTGCTTCCCAAGAACTCAGGAAGGACTGGGGCTTAGTCCTTTACACACTGATAAATTTTCTTGTGACTGTTATTACTATAAGAGGCCTAGATTCCAGGGAGAGAAGAATAAGAAATTCCTTTGTGTGTGTGTGTGTGTGTGTGTGTGAAATGCGCTCCCATGTATAGTGTTGCACCCATATTTTGTTTGCATTATACACGGGATGATTATACCTATTATTATACCCATGGTATATAATCATTACACCCATCCTTATTTTTCCCTCAAAAATTTGGGCACAAAAAGTGCCCATTATACATGGCAAAATACGGTACCTACCACTTGCCAGCACTTAAGCCTTAAATTGAATTAATCCATACAACAGCTCCGTGAAGTAGGTACCATGATCCCCTCTGCCATGAAGAGGTAAAATAACTCATGGTAGTTCCTCAACTAAAAGGAAGAGGAGTCAGGATTGAAACCCAAGTCTCCTTACTCCTTCTCTTTACTATACTAACAGCAAATAAAGGTTCGAAGGAGTTTTTAAATGTGCAGCTACTACTGTTAGCCACAGGGGTAGGGGTAGGGAAATACACTTGAAAAGGAGAATACAATTTTACCTTAAGTTCTACTCCTAATGACCAAAAGGCTCCCCGTGGCCCAGTTCTAGCTGGTATTCCTGGGAGAAAGCTTCACAAAAAGCCTCATTCTGTGAGTACTTTACCTCCCTGAGCCTCCACGGTCCACACCGACTGGCCGTGAGCTTTACATGGTGGTGAGTTTCTCTGCCTTCCCCTCCAAACAGGGAGCATGGCTTTTCTGCTGTCCAATGCTCTTTTCTAGGGTCCAGGAAATGCCACCTTGCCTTCTTTATTCACTGTCTTTTCTAAAAAAGTTCTCCAGCGCTAGATGTGTGGCATTTGTCTAAGCCGCCCACACAAGAACGCACGACTTCCATTACCGTCTATCACATGGTTTGGGGCCTTCCTGACAACAGCAGTTGGAACACCCTCGTTGGGTTTGCCCTTATTAAACTGTGGAGGGGACTGTAGTCGGGGAGCCCTGCTTTCTTCTCCACAAGTGTGTCCCTTCCAGAGCTTTTTGCAATTATGGCTTGTTTCTCTAGGTTTCACATGGCAGGCGTCTGAACAGAATTAAAAGCACAAGCACGTGCAAAAATAATCCACTTCCCAAGATAGTAAATGCTGAGAAGTTCTATATTAGAACACGCTGTGAGTGCTGACTGGCTGGGGCGTGATTAACCTAATAGGCTTAAAGTTCCACTTGCCATCCACATCTGTCAGGAGGGAGAAAACAGGGGCCCCTGATCCAGGAGCCTGAGGTCCTTTACCTTCCAACTGCTGCTCACTAACTGCACAGGGTCCAAAGTTAGAGCCGCAGAAGGTGGTGGCCACCACCGCCCCTACACGGCGGGGCCAGGGAAGTAAGAAAGCTCATGCCGCGCAGAGGACGCAGCACTGTGGACTTCAAAGGGTTCTGGCCTGGAAATGCCTGGATGGACTCGTAAGATCGCCTTTTGCTGCTCTTTCAAATATGTCTCTGTGGAAATTATGAAGGTCGCGGGTGGGAGATGAGTGCAGGCTGACACCATGGGGTGCGCACCTTCCCATAGTGACATCGTTAACAGCGTGGCTAAGAGCAGCATCCAGTTTTTTAAAAAGCCCAAGGCAGTTCTGTCAGGGGGAGGAAGTCAGGGGGACAGTGAAAGATGTTCTGTCCCTTTGCTGGCTCAAAGCTCCACCTGCTATGACTCTGGGGGGAACCTGTCCCAGGGACAAAGGCCCAGAGAGGTGCAGCCAGGTCCCACGTGGACCCAAACCATGGCTGGAGATTCCACTGCAGGCAAAAAGGAAAATCTGAAGGTACTGATCTCAGAAACCAAAACTGCTCCATCCCAGCTGGACAAATCACAAAGCCGCATGGCTGAGGACATTCCATTCAAGACACAGAGCTCCCACGAGTCACAAGGGGCAGCCTTTTCTGAAGATGAAAAAGCAGAAAGTGTTAGCCATGAGACCTCCCTGTGGGAGAGGAAGCCAAAAGGCCACAGGTCAGGGCAGCAGGGTCTTTGCTGCCAGACCACTCTCCTCGCTCAGGGCTCCGAAGGCAAAGTGGACTTTCCCGAGCCCCTGGTGACAGCCCACCAGCATGCTTACACCTATCTGCACTCCTGCCTCTCCAAGTACGAAGCAGTTCTGAGCCTCGTGCATCAGGCCACACAGACCCAGGAGCTGCTGCAGCCCATGGTGAGCCTCCTGCTGCTGTGCTTCAATGAAGCCAGTCAGCTCCTGGGGGAGATCTCCAAGGATGGAGAAGTGCTGCTCCGGGAAGTTAGGGAGGATCTGGCTTGGCCGTTGAAGAAAGGGGAGCCCCAGGAGCAGCCAGATCTCCTGCCACAGCTTCTGCAGTACACAGTCAGCAGGCTGCAGGGGCTCAGCGGCACAGTGGCCTCGCTCACCAGTGGCTTCCTGGAGGGCTCCAGCAGCTACCTGCAGGCCGCTGCAAGCCACTTGGGAAACACGCTGAGCACGAAGAGGGCTGTGGATGCACGCCTCCTGCAGGCTCTGGGGCAGCTGGAGAGCTTGGCCAGCGGCCACAGGGACCCTGGGGTACAGGGTCTACCCCTGTGCTCTGAGGACAGTGGCATTGGTGCGGACAGTGAGTCTGTGTACCCGGTGGACAAGCTGGGCAAGCAAGCCAGCTGGGACTTAACGCCGGAGCCTGCAGACAGAAAGCCAGGGACTTCACCCCCAGTGGAGGCCAGGCTGTTGGGACATACCTGGCAGCAAAGCCCAGTCTGGATGGGTTCAGATAGACCCCAGGACTGCCCGCTCTCAAGGCCTCTTCTGGCAAAGGTTCAGCCAGCTGCAGAGGGCGGAGCAGGGACTCTAGGCCCCTCCGGCTCAGACCCAGAAAATGCTGCCTCCAGGCCTCTGGGGGTAAGCAAAAGCAATTCCTGTGAGTCCTCTGGGGCCGGGATCTCTGTGGAAGCCCATATTCCTAAAGGCTCCGTGTGGATGGGTGCTCCATCCCTCAGTGAAGAGGAAGACAGGAGCACGGAGGAGGAGGAAGACGATTTCCATCCGAGGCCAAGGTCTTCTCCTCCTGGCCCATTTCAGGCATACCCCAGGGGACTTAGGAGCCTCCAAGCTCAGGAAATGATTCTGAAGATGAAGGAAGCAATCAGTGAAAGGATCAAGTTTGTCCCTGTGTCCACCGGGCACCAGGATTGGGCTGAGGAGGAGGAGAGGACAGTGGTCCCACCAAGACCTAGTTCGGTCAGTGGCAGCCGGAGAGCCCCTGTGAGGCAGAGGAGGTCCCAATCAGAGGGGTGTCTTAAGAGCCACGCAGAGGAGCCCACCCTCCAGGAGCTGCAGCAGGTCCAGAGAGACCTCAGCCAGAGGTTGGAGGCATTCTACTCCCTGGGCACCCGCCGGCAGGAGCTGAGCAGGGAGCAGGTTCTGCAGCCCAGAGCAGCTTCTCTGAAGCCCGACAGCCACCGCAGGGCCACCCCAAGCAGCCCCATCAGCAAGCTGAAGGCATCTCTGACCAAGAACTTCAGCATTTTGCCAAGTCAGGACAAGAGCATTTTGCAAAAATGCAGCCCCCGCCCGGAGGGGGAATGGCCCTGGAACAGGGAGGCTGAGGGGCTTCCCAATGATGCCCCATCAGGGCAGAGGGCCAGGGAGGCTCCCAGGGCTGAGGACTGGGCTGTCAGGGGCCACCCCCCCAGGACATCAGTCAAGAAACTCATTGAAACTTTCAGCTCCAGTGGGAATCTGCAGACACTGGGGGAGTCCAAATACTCTGGGCCGAGCGCCTGCCTCAGGAAGTGGGGGGTCCCCATCATGCCCCCCAGATTTCCTATTTACAGGGGGCTTGCCCCTTTGTATACAAAGCCCCAAATTTCTCCTGCGGTGCACAGAGGGTGTCTCAGGGGGGGCCCAGGCTGCAGGCCTGCAGCCCCTGCCTTTCCCCCTCTGCAGACAGGGTCCATGAGCGAGGAGCTCCACGGTGAAACCGAGGGGGAGGACCCAGAGTACCTCCCTCCGCCACCTCTGGAAATCCTGATGGACAGATCATTCACTGCTCTGGAGCCCCCCGAAAGCAGCAAGCCAGCAGGGAGCTCTCCTGAAGGGACCTACCTGCCAGGGCTGGCAGAGGCTGGCCCTGCCAGACAAACATGGATGTCCCCAAAGCTAAGAGCCTCTGTGAGCCCCACTGACCTGCTGCCCAGCAGGAGCACTACCACCCCCACCGGGCCGTGCAGCGCAGGGCCAGGGAGCAGCGAGAGCAGCTGCAGTCCTGGAAAGCTGGCCTTGGACCTCAACCATCCCCCAGCAATGAGCCCAAACCCAGAGGAGGAGAGCAGTGAGGCTCAGAGCCAGGCACACGTGCCCAGACCTGTAAACCTGTCCAGGCAGCCCCGGAGGGCAGGCGCCGGTCACCACCCCAGCCACATTGCTGGGCATCACAGGGCCTTGGAACCCAGCCTGCCCAGACCGACTCGGGGGCCACATTCTTCTGAGGCCCCAAGGAAGAGCCAAGAGAGAAGCTCCCCACTGGTCAGGAAGTCCTCTCCTACGAGGGCTCCCAGAGCAGACAAGAGGCACCCAAGCCTGCCCTCCTCTCACAGACCTGCTCAGCCAAGCGCCCCCTCTGTGCATGGGTCCCCCAGCCCAACAGTCAGCCCTCTAGCAAGCCCCAGGACACTGAGCCCCCCAACAGTAACGAAAGGGGCGTCCCCGCCACCCCAGCACAACCTGCCCAGCCCTCCCGCTGAGAGCTCACTTGCTCAGCACAAGATCCCCAACCCCCCTACACAGCACACAGAAGCAAGTTCCCCTGCCTCTGGCCCCTGCCCATCCCCTCCGTTGTCCCCCCCACAGGGACAAAAGGAAGCAAGAGACTCTGAAAATAGCCGGGCAGCCCCATCCAAAGCGTCTCAGAACACACGGGCCCTGTTCTGCCCAGCCACCGCCTCCCTGTTTGAAGCCAAATCGCCATCCTCAACAGCCCACCCAGCCGCCCCATTACTGCCACCTGAAGCTGGGGGCCCTCGGGGGACCCCCACAGGATGCTGGAGAGGCAGCTCAGGGCCACGACCGAGGTGGAGCTCACAGCGGGGAATGGCTCTGTGTGTCCTCAACCCTCAGCCCTTCATCAGACGGACAGCTTCTGACCGCCAGCCCGGCGTCCGCCTTCACCCGCCTGTCCCGGGTGCCACCAGCAACGCTCGTGATCCCCAGCTTGGCCACAGCAGGTAAGGGGAGTGTCGGGGCCACCGCCTTCAGGTACTGGAACAGAGCCAATGGGCCCCTAGGATCCTCTGGGTCAGTGGCTTTCACACTGTCCTCCAAGAGGAGAGGCAGTTAGAAAAAAGGGTCTAGGAATGTCCAGGCCCCCCAGGCCCCCCAAACTCTGAGCAACTGTGCTTTCATTTGTCACTCATTTCAGGTTCTTGAGATTTTAATGAAAAGAGGTTCTGCTAGATTAAAAGTCTGAAACAACTGAGTCCATCCAGCCCCACAGAGGCCTTTCTTTAATGGGGGGCAGGGCGGACTGAGATGAAGCCATTTGGCCTCCTGGTGGGGTCACTGTCACTCCGCCCAGAACCAGCAGCCCGATCGCCCTCGTTTCTGTCGTGTGCATCTAGGTGGGAGGTTCTCAAACGTGAGGTCCCGGCACCCCTCTAGACTCTGTGTATGTGGGCTGGGCCTGTCACTTGTCACTGTGTTAGAAATTGAAATGAAGAAATACCAGGAACGTGCATTAATTAATTTTCTAAAACAAACACAACCCCATTATATGTTAGCATGAATAATATATTCTTATGAGAGTTAGCTCTATTTTCCACAACAAAATTCAGCAAGGCGTGGCACCGTCTTACATTTTTGCAAATCTCCTTAGTGTGAGGCTTCACAGAAAGACGGCTGGATTCTCAGATCGGTTTCGGCAGTCACTCTGCTGTGCTATCACCTATCATGTCCACAGGAAAATTCCACTCTACACTCATGGAAGAATGAGTGGAAAAGGCAAATAATGTCTTAGTATTACTATTGAAATAGTTTTGACCTCACAGACCCCCTTACCAAGTGTCTCGGGGACACCCTAGGGACATGCCTTGAGAAGGGCTGGTCCTGGAGACGTGCAATATAAATGTTTATCTTCCCCATCCCCCAAAGACCTGCCCTCCAATCCAGCCTCATCTCCACGCCCCCGTGCAGAAGTTTGGAGAGTAGGAACAAGACTCTTCATTGGCACTCAGCACCAGCACCCAGGAGAAGGGTTACCATCCTTGCCCTGGGCAGACTGAGTTTGTTTGTTTTTTTTAATTGAATGGCTGTGAGAGAGTGAGAGAGAGAGACATTGATTTGTTTTTGCACTTATTTATACATTCATTGGTTGCTTCATGTATGTGCCCTGACCAGGGATTGAACCCTCAACCTTGGTATATTGGGTCGATGCTCTAACCAACTGAACTACCTGGCCAGGGCCTGGCATGGGCCAGGAGTCAGAGTATAGTCTGCCAGGGCATTGAACAGACCGGATGCTCAGATGGCGCTTTTGCAGACTCTGTGGAGAAATGTGTCTTTTCCAGACCTGTGGCAAGGTGGGGAAAATGTAAACTTGAGGCCTAATAGAGATGAACTCATATCAATGTGCCTGGGTAACGGATCAGACACAGCCCAACCAGCACCGGTCCTTACTGTCTTTCCATTGCCCGCAATAGTGTGAGTCAGCAGTTAACTCTGCCACAGTGTATGTGTTAGAGACTTCACCATCTGTCAAGACATAAATGGTAATGTCTTACTTCTTTTACAAAGTACTCAGCAGTCAATTTTAAATAAAGATATTATCTAGGGAAAGTTGTGCATTATTATAGTTATATCAACTTCCCCACGCTCTTGAAAGAAATGAAGTATTGGTTATTTTTGCAAGAATCCTAATGCAACATTGCTCTTTTCTTAAATCTAAAATGAGCTCCCGACAGCACAGCGCCTTCCATCTGAGAACCTCCGTAAATGTTAGTGCGTTATTCCTCACACTAGCCACTCACTCAGTTACTAGATTTCTAACATGGTGCCTTCAGGAAAAAAACTGGAAGAAACAAGGACAATAAAATGGCATTGATTAAAGATACTAACATTTTAAATCACTGGGAGCAATAATAAAACAACACAAAATTGTTCAAGAAGACAATGATGCCTTTGTCTCGGGCTATTCCTCGGAAAAGGGCAGCCCACACGGCTGCTTCATGTCCTAAGTCTCAGTCCTGGGAGACATTGGGCTGGGGGCACAGTGCTTTTAGTTGGAAAGAGCAAGGAGGTTCGTAACCACGCACCTTCCCAGGCCGCGTGCAGGGTCTCACAATGACTCACGCCCATCCCCCTGCCTCCTGGTAAGACCACACCTCTGAGCTGTTCCCAGCTGTGCAGCTGCAGATGGGTGTGAGGGGAAAGCACTCATTCCCCCACCCCCGCCCCAACTCAACCCCTGGAAGTTGGCATCTGGAGCAGAAGCACGCTGGCTACAAGAACACTGAACGTTCTCCACTGTGTAGAGGACGGAGGATGAGCATTTGTTTTCCTGCCCTTCCGCCTGAGGGAAACTGTACCAGGAAATGGATCCTGCAATGAGCCAACCAGCCTGTACGAGAGAGGCAGAAACTGCCCAGATCCAGCTGCTTCCCCCAGCGGGACGTGCAGGGACAGACACAACCACACCTGTGAGATCTTGCCACCAAGGCCGGCTCGCAGGACGGACCAGCCTGCGGCTGGTGTTGACCCCTCTCAGGTCATCCCGTGCCAGGTGCCAGACCCTCTCGTAGAAAAATTATGACACTCATATCTTCCCGATCTTGGGGCTCAGGGGCTCGGGAAGAGTCCCTGGAGGCGCACCCAGGCACCTAAGTTACTGAGCTCCAGCTGTCATTCATGTGTTGAATCCCCCAGTAGAGGTGCTGGTCCCTAGGTCTCTGCACACTGGGGTGCTGTGAACATCCAAGAAGGGTCCAGACGTTTTCCCCTAAAGGTGGTGCTCTTAATCTTTGCCAGGACTGGACCCTCCAGGCAAGGTCTCTGCAGAAATCCCTCCCCCACCCTTGTCCTGGGTCAGGATACCGGGGCAGCCTGCCTAATAGAGCTCCTGGAATAGTCGAGAACATACACACTGTGACAGGTAGAGAGAAGGGCCTTCTGCTCTGTGCGTGTGGGGAGCTGGGTCTGATCCTGGCCCTCAGGGGAATGATCAAGAGACTCTGACCCTCAGGGAGTGCAACAGGGTGGTCCTAAGCATTCTAGGTGTGACTTCCTATTCATGCTGCAAAGCAGCACCAGAGTGACAGCTGGCCAGTTACTGAGTACTTGTCACATGCTACTTAACGTTCTAAGAGCTTTACAGGCTTCATCCAATGTTGATAACTTTGAGCGCCCTGTGAGATGGGCACTACTATTACCTTTGCTTTACCAAGAAGAAAATTGAAGAGATTAATTAACATGGCACAGGTCCCACAGCTAGTCAGCGGAAGAGCTGGGACTTCAGCCCAGACAGCCAGACTCCGGCCTCCACGCAGTAATTGTGAGACCAGCCTGTTAGCCCACGGCCTGACCCGTGTGGTTTTCTGAGCTGGTACCCTCCTGGCCCAAGCCTGCTCCATGCTTGTGACTACCCTCCACTCTGCGTTTCCAGCACACACTGGGTGTCCTTCCGCACACAAAGCCCCTCTTACCGTAGCACTCAGCAGCCGGGAGGGGCTGTTCTAGACACAGGCCAGCCCTGGTTACTCCAGTCAGGAAGACAGGAAGACGGTGGCAGCTGAACAAAGCAGGGTGGGTTTGGGGCAAGGGCTGGCTGTTATTTTTGGTATTTTTTAAATTGATTTTACGGGGAGAGAGAGTGAGACACAGATTTGTTGTTCCACTTACTTATACATTCATTGGTGGCTTCTTGTATGTTCCCTGACCAGGGATCAAACCCCCAACCTTGGCATAGTGAGACAATGCTCCAACCAGCCAGGGCGTGGGCGTTGTTTTTACTTTAATTAGCTGAGCCTAGCCCTTTATTAAGTTAGAAGCACTTCAAAAACAAACACAAAATAGAGGCACACTCCCAGAGCTCCTGCGGGAGTGGCTCCGTTCAGAGCAGCAGGATCTTGGGTGAGAGGAAGAGCAGGCCTCAGCTCGTCTGTCGAAACGCCCCGGAGCCTGGTTTCCTGCTGCCCTGCCCGGCTTCAGTGGGTGAGCATGAGGGCAGCACCAGCTGGGCAGGCCTGATAGAGAGAGGCAGAGGCCAGGCACCTGGGCTCCACCAGGCCTGTGGGAGGGACAGAGAGGAGAATGAAGAGCAGGACAGGGGCCAGAGGAGCAACAGAGGGCTGTTTGATCTGCATCCGTCTTTTTCTTGGCAGCGGCAGTGAGGAGAGCCCCAAGAAGGACACAGAGCCGTGGAGCAGCCCCTGTGCCCCAGAACTGAAGGGTGGCGGCAGAGCTGCGTCTCCCCCAGAACTCTGTGTGCTGGGCCACAGGCTGCAACGGGACACCAGTGCCGGCTGCACCCAGGACAAGCCCCAGCAGAAGGAAGTGGCCTGACCAGCAAAGCGTGACCGCCAAGTGCCAGGCTGCCCCACCGATGGCGGGCCGACCACACTCCTCCCCCAGGTGTCCTGGGAAGGCCTGGGAGGTGCCCTGCCCAGCAGGTCTGCGGACCTATAAACATTCACCGTTTTGGGTCCCAGCCCCTGGTTTGCCTCGGGGTCCAAAAGTTAGCTACAACTCTGCGTCCCACCATGGCACTCTTAATCCTTCAAGTACTGGCCTTAATTTAGAGGAAACACGAGTTTCTCATATGCTTGACGGGCCAGGTGTTTAACCTGCGTTGGCCCCCTGAAATCACTTTGTCCTCCCCACAGTACAGGAGGCAGACAGCATTCTCCTGGGTTTGCAGGTCAGGAAACCAAAGCGCCCCCACCCAGTGACTTGCCTGAGGTCACATATGAACGGGTATAAGGACATAGAATCTATTGTCTTCCATCACATCTCATTGCTCTGGGACATCCCATCACTCCATCTGCCTAAAACATATTGTTGTGCAAATGGTGGGAATGCCTAGCTTTTTAAGGTTAAATACTGGCAGAGCACGCAAGTCCCCAAGATGAGCTTTGCTTAGAAATCGGTTGCCCCAGCAATGTGAGCCCACCCACTTTCCCGCTTCTCCTCCTTCCCCAGCTCAGCACCACAGCCCAAAGGCAAAGCTCCCAGCCCACTCACGCAGCCACGTCACCGCTCCAGCTCAGTGCATCGCACATGCTCTGCCCTACGCGTCCACATGCCTCTCAGACTGAGTGGGCACGGCCAAGCCTCCCAAACAAGGCAGCCTATTCTCCAGGCACCTTGGGGGCTGGGGCTCAGAGGGGTGTGTGGGTAAGTTTCCCTGTACATGGGCCGGGTCCCCCAGAGGCTTCTCGGCCACCTTTATCTGGGTCACCTGCAGAACTCCTGCTGGAGTTGAAATTGAAGGGAAGAGCGGTCGTTTGTGCCAAAAAGTTGCTTCTGCCAACGAGCTAGATACTTGCTGCCGATCTGGAAGTTTTCCGTTGGAGGCTGCGGAGCGCTTTCTATTTAGAAAAGAATTTGCAGTGATCGGGTGATTCAATGGGTTGTCACAAGACAAGAATTCTCGCTCATGGGCTAGCGCTAAGAGGCAACCCTCCAGGTCTGCTGCAAAGCTGGTTTTTTTCAGATTAGGAAAATTACGGACATCAGGTCCCTTTTTGTGGAAATAGGTCCTGACTCAAGAGCACGTTAAACTGGGTCCTGGGCGCTAGGTGGCCTCCTCCGGGGTGGGCATGAGACCAGGGGAATGAATCCCATCTCGAGGTGTCCAGTTATTCAAGCAGGGGTGACAGGGACCAACTCTTCAAAGGCACCCAAGGAAGAGTGACTGAACTACCAAGAGGGGCATGACTGACTCCCGTTGGGAAATGTCTGTACACCCCGCTGTGTGCTTTGTTTGCCTGTAGCCGCACTGATCCACAGAGCAGAGCTTGGGCGGCAGCAGGGCAGGTCCTGGGGCCGAGCCATACCCATGAGCCTGTGGGTGGGCCCTGGGAGCCGCCTGGGCTGCAGGAAATGGGCGGCAGTCCAGCCACCCAGGCAGGGCAGGGCTGAGGTAATTGTGCGAGAACATCTGGTTTAGGAAACGTGCTTGGTACAGAGCTGGGCGGCCCGTCCACACGGTCAGGCCTTCAGCGTGGGCAACGGGGCTGGGCAGGCAGGAAGCAAGCCCTGGGGAGCCAGCCTTGGGTTAGAGTTAAGGGGTGGATTCCTGGAGATCCAAGGGAACGAAGCAGAGCTCCAGCTGCAGGGAGACTGGACAGGGACACAGTTGACAAGACTGGGACACAACACGGAGGTATAACCACAGGGACAATAAAACTCTAGTGACTAGAACCAGGATAGAAGTGGGAGCCAGATCCACACACAGGCAAAGTGAGTCTCAGTGTCCAGCCCAGGCGCCCCTGAATGGGCCTTGTCTTAGAGGCTGGGGCTGGCTCCAGTGCGCAGGCAGGGGCTGAGGGCACCAGGCTGCAGCAACCGGAGCTGCAGACGGGCAGCTGGGAGCCGGGCAGCGCATTCTTTCACGGAGGGGTCCGTGTGTGTCAGACAAACACCCCAGGAGACTCTGGGATGAGCCGTTGCTGGCCTCCCTGAGTGTGCCTGGCGGGAGGCTCTCTGCGATGAAAAGCTGCCCCACCCCCAAGCTGGACTGGTCAGCAGCAGCCAACACCCACCCTCCGGAGCTGCAGACTGGATGTCTGTCATCGGCCAAATGCAGTTCGTGCCTTCTCATCCCTCCACATCGCTGAGCACCTACCTGCTACCTGTGCCAGGACAGTGCTGGGCTCTGCCATGCATCCCCACATGCGATGTAACAAGAGGTCCCAGGGGCCCCGAGGCTCTGTCCCAGGGGCCCATAAGCTCAGGCAACAGGGATGACGAGCTCCTGTGGACATCCTGTTGCCAAAGGACCCAAAGGCTTTGGGAATCCCAAATCAGCTTCCCTGGGGCAGACAGGGAGGGGTTGTGAAGGCTAAGGAGCCGGGAGGCAGTAAAGGTCAAAGGTGAGGAAGAGCCAAGCAGGCAAGCAGGCCTTGAGCTGATGAGTCCAAGCTGTGCTTTTCTGGCTACCATCCTAACTACCAGATGTAGCCCCAATTACCTGCGAATTAGGCTCTGTACAAAAGAAATTCAATTTGCCACCATGGACCATTTGTGTGGCATTAGCCCAGTTCTTGGCCTTCTGGAGACCTGGCCTTTCTTTCGTCCAACACTTGCCTTGGGGAGCAAACCACCGGTGGCCATGGGGACAGGCCCAATTCCACAGCTTCTCAGGTGGGTCACTCTTAGCCTCCCCTCAAGAACCTCGTCCTTGCTCAGCCCAATCTGCTTCTGTGCTCAAGGGAGAAGGGAGGGCAGGTTTTTTGCTTTGTTTTGTCTCTTCAAATGAATTAAACCATGGGCCCAACCCATGGAGAACTCACAAGCCTATACTTTTTCTTCATGGGGTTAGAAACCAAGGAGGTGTGTGGGGTAGAAAGACAAAAGGGAGCCCACCACCGGAGACCCATTTAAAGGGTACATAAAACACCCATATTTTTATTTGGCCCAACTCCCCTGGGGGCAGACCTCACTGCCTTCTTCGTCCACACCCCGGAGGACCCCCAACTGCGGGGAGGGAGGGGCTCAGCCAGCTCTTCCTCCAACACTTCAGCCACTTAGCAAAGAGTCCAGCCCCAGGGGGAAACACAGTTCTCCAGTTTCATCAAAAGGATTCATGAAGGAAAACAACAACTATAATATTCTGGCAGGACAGCGATAGCTTTTTGCAAATATAAACACAACCTCGAAGCTGAACTGTAACTTCCGTCCCAGTGTGGGTCTGAGCGCTGTTTACTATAAACAGCACCTATTTTCCTTCCCCACATTATATACCCAGTTCAGAGCCTAAAATAATCCATGTAGAGAGAAAGTGCAGAGCAGGCAGGCCGGAAGAGACTCCTCTTTCATTATGAATAGTCTCTTGCCTATGTTTGACAAGACTTGCCTCATAAACCCAATAATGGGAATGAAAGGGATTTTGAGAAATACATTCTTTTTTTCTGAAATAAACCTGTGATTTGCGTGTATCGGGGAGCCAGTGCAGGGAACTGTCTCAGCATGTGTGTCAATGATCATCCAGTTGACGGTTTCCAGGCCGCCCACACCCACCCCATCTTCCCAAGGCAAGGTTTTCGAAGAGAATCTATTTTTGAAGCAGCTCCGCCACAGAGTCAGTGCTCTGAGCCTGCGTTAACAGAACATGTCAGGCCGCGCTGTGCGTCATTCCCTGTGCCCACCTGGAGCTGAAGTAAAGCTCCATCAATCCATCCAGACATTTTAGGAACTGTCATTAAAGATGACACGCAGAGGAGTGAACAGCTAATTTGCTCAGCACTCTAATTTTATGAAGGACCCTGGGCACTGCTGGCCGGCTGACACTCGTGGACTTCGGAAGGTGACTTGGCTGATAGTCTGTGGGCCCTGCATCAGGTGACGATAGAATTCGACGGATCCAGCAGCCCAGGTTTGGAACACTGTGACTCCGGCCACCCTGAAGTCCAGCGCACGCGCCAGCCATCTGTTTCGGCTGGTGTGTGGCACTAGTGGGTCTCAGGGGGTGCCCCCCGACAAACCAGATGGACCTACGCTGGAAGAGGAAGAAAGAAACAAGGAGCAGGGGACAGAAGGAGGAATGCGGTGAATGGGACAGTCACCCTCGGGAGCCAGAGCTGACCACACTGCTCACGGCTAGAACAAGGACACCTTCATCACCCCGCTCTGGGACCTGGCTTCTTTCCAAAACCGTCGTTGGAGCCACCTTGGGGATCTGCCCATGTCATTTCCAATGTTCACCTCTGGCACTTTAAGATGGTGATCGAGAGAAGAACCCATTGCATTTCCTCCTCCTTTTAGGTCTGCGCATTGATCGTTGCCGGAAGTTAGAGAAACTCAGCTAGTGCCGACTTCCATCTCTGAGGGGTGGAAAGACTCTAAAACATTTGGCTTCCAATCACCACTACATTACGTCAAGTGTACCACACAGGAAAACAAATGAAGCATAAGACGCTCCCATTGATTCCCATACCGAGTGGTGGGGGACCTGCCAGTCAGATGAAAGAGACAAGTCGACCCTGTGCCTTCTGAACAGCAGGTGTTACTGGGATAAGGCTGCACTTAATAATTATACCTTTACTTCATGGCAACACCACTATTTCAAAATACGATTATCTACATTGTTTTATTGGATCATTTAAAGATCCTATGCTATGACAAAGCAAGTAATGTTCAACACCTTTTACGAATTAAAACAGTAAGTAAGGCAAGAAAGGTCATAGGTCTTGCTCCCAGGACACAGTGCCTGGGGCGTCCAACCTTCTGGCGTCTCTGGGCCACACTGGAGGAAGAGTCGTCTTGGGTGACACATTAAATACATTGTGACACATAACCACAAAATAATCTCATGATGTTTTCAGTAAATTGACGATTTTATGTCGGGCCGCATCCACGGCCACCCTGGGCCCCGTTCTCAGCTGAGGGTGGCAGTGAGGGGCATGACAAGTAAGGAGCCGAGGATGGCAACTGAGAGGTGACAAACCCCAACTCCAAAGGCAGCAGAAACCACAAGACCCTGATCCTAACTGCTCCCAAAGCTATGACCTGCCCCCCCCAAAAAAAACCCCATAATAGCCTTCCAGGATTTCTTGGGCTCTTAGCCTTATTCTAAGTACTTTACAAGAATTATCTCCATAATCATCACAACAGTCCAGGGAAGTCAGGCACTGCAGTCACCTTCTCCCCTATCCACCCGTCACATGTGTGCACATAAACGCAGGATTGATAAGGACAGGTCAGAGGGGTTGACAAGTGGGTCCGAGGCCACACACCAGCAAGCCACAGTGTCTGGGCTTCAGTGCAGCCTCTCTGATCCCAGTATCTGGCCTTAGTCTCCACCCCTAATGCCAGGACACCCTACAGCTGCTGAGTGAGCACAGCTGGCAGGACAGAAGCCTGGAAGGTCAAAGACATTGCCACTTTCCTATATCTTCTATCTTACTGTGGTTTCAGAATTTGACCACCCATTGGAATCACCCGAAGAAAAACAAAATAATAGTAGTAATAATAATAATAATAATGGTAATAGAGAGATGGAGAAGGGAGAAGAGAAAAAAAGGAAGGGGAGGAAAGGGACGGGAAGGGGAGGGGAAAGGAAGGGAAAGGTGGGGAGTGGAGGGGATGAGGTCAGACAAGACAAGACAGCTATCTGGGCTCCACCCCAAACCGGTTGAGGAATCAGTTGATTCCTCCCCCAGGGATGGAGCCTGGAATCAGTACTGTTTTAAATCTCACCAGATGATTCTGAAGTGCAGAAGGGAGGAGATGAGGCAGGGAGGAGAAAACAAGACAAGAGGTAGACCTTAAGGAAAGTTTTCTAAAATCTCAGAAATTCGGTTGATGAGAAAGGAAGTCCTAATCAGTTAGCTGTTCTCAAACCAAGTCTTTGGTTCTTGATTCTCACACTGGAGAGAATGAGAGAGGCGGGGGGGGGGGGGGAGAGACAGAGAGACAGAGAGAGAGGGGTTTATGCAGGCTGCATTCCTACCCCAAAGAGCATCTTAGGTAAGTAGCATTTCCGGCCACACACACTACCAAGCAGAGAATGGTGGCTCAGCTCAAAGCCACCTGCCTTCCAGGCCAGTTCTTAGTCCCCGAGGCTGGCCTCTGTTAGGCCCATCTTTGCAGCACGCACAGCCAGGTTACTAATGCCCTGACCTGGCCAGAACCCCCGGCCTGTCACCCAGAGCCCAGGGTGCCTGGGACCAGATTCAAACCTGAAATAGTGAAAGAAAGCAGAACCAGGCAATGATGTATTCTTTGCTTTTCAGCTGTTTTCAGCTGTTTTAAAGGCCTCCATCATGGGGTTGTGTACAGAGCCCAAAGGACAAGAAGCTTCCAGTTTGAAAATGGACTTGGAAGATAGGACAGGAACATAGGAGGAAAGGACAATGACTCAGAGCTTAATTTCAGCCTTCAAAATCCCTGCCGGATCTCCCGGGGCTCTTGCAGTTCTAAAAAGGCCCTGGATTGCTCTGATATGTTCTAGAATCTTGACAAGCAGAAAATTCAATCCCCTGACCAAACCCCAAAATTTCGCTCAGCCTCACAGCAAACGAAACCAATTAAATTGTGTAAAACTTAGCGAACACTGGAAACCAGCCTCTTGAGCATCTTCGATTGCTGCCTGCCTGTCTAGCAGGCCTTTAACCTGGTTCAGACCGAATCAACAAAGGGCAAGGAGGCAGCCAGGGAGCAGCAGCTGCTGGGTCACAGTTAAGTGACAAGTGCTCACGCTGGGGCTAGAATTACCCAAAGTCACACTTAAGCTGCCTATTAAAACCCAAATCCCAGGAAGGCTGAGTGGTGCCAGGGCTCACCCCAGGGCACCTGGGGGAGGGGGTGGCCTGGTTGCACCTGGCAACATGGGCAACTTGGAAAAGTGGCCTCCTCTGTCAGGGGCACCCACGGGGTTTGGAAACACAGGGTGAGTCAGTTCCACGGCCTTCTCTGGGCTGTCTCCCCAGAAGAGGCCAGGACAGTGGTGCTGTGCTCTGGGCAAGTGACAGCGGAAGGGAACTTGCTGTTCTTGTGAGGGGTGTGGGCAGGGGTGGAGCCCTCGGGGCCTCACCCGCGGGACCTGCCCCAGCGTGTTGCTGGAGGCCCGGGCTCCTTGGCTGGGACTGGGATACAATCCGTCCGCTTTTACTTCACCCACGTGTTGGAGGTAATGCCTGCTCTCTGATTCTTCCTGGCCACACCAGTGTCAAGGCAGAGCCCTGGCCAAGGCAGGGCCGCTCCTACTGTGTCCAGGGCCCAGGCCCAGGCCGTCCCCCTCTCACTGCCCGGGTGCCACTTCTCTGGCTGCCCCATCAGGGGGCAGCACCCCCTCTCAGCTTCCCTGTGTCCTGACCCAGCTGCAGTGGTCCGTGCGATTTCAGAGTTTCCACGGGACATCTGCCTGCCATGTAGAGCTGTGTGCTCCCCGAGTGCCTTCCGCTGGGGCGCTTCAAGTGCAAACATCATCCAGTCCTCCTCAGAACTAGCCTGAGAGTCAGAAGGCTTTGTGGTAGGTGTCCACACAGACAGGAGTAGAGCGGGGACGGAGGGCCAGGTACAGAAAGTCACCTGGGCGGAGAGCCCCTGGTGCCTAGCAACAGGCAAGACTGGGAAAACAAGGACCTCCCCGCCAGGGTGACCTTTCCTCCCCTAGCATATCCCTGGTCAGGTGGTTTAGACCCCCTGACCTTTCACATTGCTGGCCATGCAGTTCAGACCCTGCCCTGACCTTTTCTCCCTAAAGGGTGACATCCAAGCCTCAGCTGTGTTTCAGCTCCAGGCCCAGAAAAGCAGCAAAACCAGGCGGGTGATGCCAGGACCGGCTGCATCAACCAATGACCACCACCACCACCCCCCGCCAACCAATCAGCAGAGACCACGACCCTGAAAGAGCACACCTGGAAAACTGATGCATCTTCTGAAACCCTCACCTGAGACCTCCCTTAAGATTCCCACATGCAAGGGAGAAATAAAACCTCTCCAGACAAAGGATCCCAGACTTGTTCTCCCTCTGGGGAGCACATCCATGCCCTTCCCTTCCCCTCATCTTCCCCCACAGGGACACATCTCCTAAACTTTACGGGACCCCATGAGACTTGCAAACAGAGAAGAAGGGACGGCAGCCGCTCATCCCGGGCTAACCCCCGACCCTGTCTCAAGGCCCCGCTTACTCTGACTTCCCAGTGAGCTAACACAGCTCGTCAGGCTCACTTCTTCCCGGTAACATTTCTAGAGGACCAAAGCGGGCCAGCGTAGGCTCTCTCCTGCTGCTTCTGTTCTAAGCCCTTCCTGGTTGCACTGTCCCAGCTTCGATAAACATACCCTCAGAGTCACCAGGACTCATGTTGTGCCATCTTTCCCTCATGAAGACAAGAACCCACACACTACCGGCTGGCCCTGGGCAGACCCGCTGAGGGCCAGGTCCCCGGTCCGGTAACGGCTTTCAGTAACGGATGCCAGCTCCCCTTGCCTTTTTCCACACTGGATAGATCTCACCAGAAGGTTTGCATAGGGCCAGTCGGCACTGCACAGGAGCCTGTAAGGAAGGCAGAAGCCCAACGCCCCCGGAGTTGTTTGTGACGCTCACCTAAAGTCAGGCCAATGGCAAATGGACTGGCTCAGAATGACCAACTCGGGGTCCCTAGGCTTGGAGGCCGGGAGTTGCAGCTGCTCAAAGATGGGGAACCTTACCCGAAACACGGCCTGCAACACGCAGGTCTGTGCTACGCTTGTTCCCCCTGAGTCTTGGTCTCAGGATCACTACAGCTGGTGTTGCTGAGGTTAAAACAGTGGAAGATAAGGAAACCTTGGAAAAATAAGTCATTCTTTTATTTCTACTTCAAAATATATTATATACATCTGGAACTCTAAGGGGAAGTAGACCTAGAGATGAGGCCAATATAAAAATAAAATAAGATAAAAAATAATGATCGCGCGTTTCAGATCTGTCTCTAATCCGGCAGCAGGGCGTGTGGGCTGCCGGAGGTCTCGCTGCTGGGCACCATCACTCTGCTGGCCACCTCGGGGCTGCCTCACCGGGATTCCGAGTCTAAGAGCTCCCGGAGTGCTCTGAGGACGTGCTTCGGCTGGCCCGCAGCTGCATCCTGCAGCCGGGGGCCCAGGTGCTCCTGGAGGCACCGACACAGCCGGCACACCGCCGCACGGATGCTCCCACCGCCGTGTCCAGGCAGGACACCGCTCCCCGTGGTGTTGCTCAGGAAGTACCAGAGGACCGGGAGGACGTGACGCTCCACGGCCTGGGGCTTCCGGGGGTGCACCGAGGCCACCAGCGCTGCCGTGCGGAAAGAAAGAGGCAGCGTTACTCGGGGCAGGCACGCTCTTCCTGTCTCACTGCTGTCAGTGGGACACTAACTGTGTCCCCAAAGGGCAGGCCCAATACCTGGGTCTCGTGACATGTTAGGGGGCCCACAGACACGTTTTGATTTCTTTTACAATCAGAAGAAAATATGAAGAGATGCGACCTGGTTTATGTTCGTGTTTATAGCGACCAGTCACAAAATATAATTTTCAATATTTTTTTAATGGAGGAAGGGGTAGGCAGAGGTGAAGTGCTCTGGGCCCAGAACAGCCGGTGGGACCTTCCCAGTGGCCCAGCAGAGGGGCAGACGCAGGCGGTCGGCGACCCCGCCTCTGTCATCCACCAGCCTTTCTGAGCCTGTCCCCTAATCTGTACAGATCGTGATTGTTAGAAATGACATAATGAATGTCCATGAAGTGCCTAAGTAGGTGGACAGGTGACAAAGAGTAGCCAGCACTGGTGTTTCTTAAATCGACATTACCACCAATGAGCCTTCACGCAAAGACAAAGTTGTCCTAGAGAGAGAAGTCAAACCTCTTTCCAAAGACAGTCTGAGAAATAAAACAGTTGGCAGGTCAGACCAGCATGGCCTCCCCAGAGTCCGGAGGCTGAACCTCACTATAAGACCAGCAGCAATTCAGGAGGCCCGAACACGTCCCCCCACAGTGTCCGGAGAAGCAGCATGCTGGTCCATTCACGGAGAAGGAGGCCAAGCCTCAGGGTTCAGAGCTGGCCCAAGGCCACGCTGCTGATAAGGGCAGAGTGGAGGCCAGAGGCCAAGCCTGTCTTGACTCCACATGTCACGCTCTTTCCACCTCTCATGCCCCTAAGCCTCCACAGGTTCTGCATTTCAGAGGCTGATCTGGAGTTTTATTTTCAATGAAACTGCCAATCTGTCCTTCCTTCATCAGCTTAACATCACCCTACCCCCCAGATTATCTTCCAGAAGGAGTCCCTTGGGGCCTCCTGATCCCAGAGCCAGCCTGGGACAATGGGGAACCAGGGATGACCTGGGCCCCCTCAGCTGTGCCTGCCACACTTGCAGGGCCATTTCCTGTGGACTGTGGACACTGACTTTCAGGCCATGCATTGTGGGGCCCCCAGGGGCTCCCCAGTATCACAGAGCCCCCCGAACTAACAGTGATCCTCATTCCTGGGAAAGGCAGGCCTGCACCCAGTGAGTCCCCCAGCCATGTCAGGCTTCACTGGGAAAGCCTCCCAGAGGGGCGGAGCCTCGCGCAGCTTCCTAAAGTGGGGCAAGTGCTTGGAACAGGCTGCAAAGGAGGGCACAGTAAACGGGAAAGCCACGCCAGTCAACCTCAAGGGTCAGGGAGCAAGGGGGAAAGCCGAGGGGGGCATCACAAGGAACAAAAAAAAAAATGCCCCTGGTTAGCTACCTACTCTGAACACCTACCTCGAAGTCAAAGGTTCCTAATTCTCTGCCTGCAAATGGAAGCAAGAACTTTCCCAAGAACCAGGCCCAGGCAGGGCTCCCTGCTTCCACCAAAGGGTGAGGGGTTCATGTGCCCCCATAGAGCTCCCTTCCCTGTCCTGCCACAGCCGCCAGACTGGAACCCTCTGCCTCCCACAGTGGACATCACCTCTGCCTGCCTGAGTTCGGCAGGGGGAGGTCGCCTGGCTGATGGGTGGGTCTCAGGGTGGCAGAGACTGGCAGCAGCCCTTCTGGGCATCATCATGAGGAAGAAAACCTATCAAACTTAAGCTTAAAAGGCAGCTGAAGTCATTAGCAAAAGATTTACTCCTGGTAAGCTGTGCTATTATTAGTCTGCACTTTGTGTCAGTTGAAATTTTTCTGTGTTCCTGGCTGACTCCTGGTTAACAAGAGAGGTACATAGAAACACACTCTTGCTTTTCGAGTCTCTTGGAAAGAGGTGGAAAATACCTACGGTAGGTAGATACTCAATCTAAAGTGAGGTACCCACCCACCTCTGGGCCTCATAAAGGACCTACAAAAGCACAGGTAGGCTTTCGCCCAGAAAATACTGATTTTGAGCAACAGAAAGGGTTCCTTGTCTGGTACCCGGGGTGGTCTCAGTTATGCGGCCCCTTGTCTCCCCCCAGCATGGCGCCCAGACTGCACCGTGGCCCCACCTTGCCTCGTTTGCTTCACCTGCTTGGGGAAGGTCCAGCACCTGGATAGGAGGTGAGGGGCCACTCCAAGGTCATTGGGAGAATCGAACCAGGACAAACGCCAAGGCCAGGAGCAAGAGAAGGGGCAGTGGAGGAGCTGGGATGATGCCCCCTGTCAGGCGGCAGGTGCTGGGCACCCCGAGGGCCCAGAGCTGTGGGCACTGGCTGGGCCGGCACCGTGGGGGATGTGCTCTTCAGAGGCACATGGAACCAGGCAGGAGGGCTTGGGGAGGAGGGAGGCAGAGATGCCAGAACCAAGTGGGCATTGCCCGGGGGAGAAGGGGGATGGAGAAGGTCCCTGCGGGTCGGGAGCCGCACGTAGGCAGGCCGAGGCCAGAGCACGGGAGGCGGGCCTCCGGGAGGAGGGCTCAGGCCGGGGCCTCCCGGGGACAGGCAGCGGGGCACTGAGGTTGAGGGCTGGGCTCTGCAGCCAGGCTCCCGGGGACAAAGCCTGGATCACTTGCTCAGGGACCTTAACCTTTCTTCTGAGCTCTGTTTTCCTTATTTCTCCTAATCATGGAACCCACACCATCCTTCTGGGGTTGTTGTGAGGAATCTGATCCAAGACCTATAACTGGGGGTTGGAGAAGGGAGCAGAATCTCGAGGGCCAGGCAGAGACAGGCTCTGTGGGCCACTCCAGGGAGCCCCGCAGACTGCTGGGGAGCCCTGAAGGCTTCAAGCAGGGGCACGGCATGACCCATCCGCACTTTAGGGGCCTCCGGAGTCCAGGGGACAGACTGCGTTCTGCCTCCTTCCTGGATGGGACCTTCCCTGAGGGGGCAGGAGGCTTTCGGCAGGCAAGACAGTTGATAAAGCCAATGCGAGTAACCTGCCCTTGGGGCAGAGTTGGCAGGTGGCAGATGGGTCTGTCCCCCCCAAGCCATGTCCTTTCCATGCTGCCATCTCAAGGACCATGGGAGAAGGTTTCAGTGCTGCAATGAAATCCCTTGAGGCTAGTGCTGCAAACCCGAAGCAAACGTGAGCTCGGAGCCAGCTTTCCTCGGCTGAAGCTTGAATGGGGCAGAGCGGATCCAGGCTGAGGCCCCACCTGCGAGTAACACCTTCCTTGCACCTGGCCAAGGGCTGGAGTAGGGCTGAAACCCAGCCCGGGCTCCGCCTGCCAGGCCGCACTTGGTGAAGAAGAGGCAGCTTTGTCGAACTGCCTCCACCTCGCTGCTGCTGACCCGAGCTGTGGACCCGCAGGCGGTGTCTACCCGGGAGGGGGAGGCAGGTGGAGCAGCGGAAAGAGGAAGAAAGGCAACAGGTTTCTTAGGAACCATTTTGGTGTAGTACGAACCTGCTTCGTTTGTAACAAAACCAAAGATCGTCTTCTGGCAACGTGGGGACTATCTTTGGAAACCAGATTGTGAAAACTTTTCAATGGTCTGGAACTACTGGCCGGTGGAGAAGAATTCAGGGCCCAGGAGGTGGTGGGGAGAAGGGCGGGGGGAGGCAGTGAGGGGCGCTCACCTGACAGGCGGTCTGTGACGTGGAGCACCGCGCGGCCACTCAGGAAACGCACCCGCCCAGCAAACATGGGCAGGAGGCACAGGTTGTCTGAAAGAGACAGTGTCCGTGGCCGTGACGCTGTGGCCCAGCAACGGCTCCCGCTCAGCACCAGGCTCCCACAATGCCTACGCAGGGGGAGGGCCTTTGGGGAGCCGCATTAGTTTTCCCAGCCCACAGAGGGGTCACTTTAAAAAGTGAAGGTGCAGGGGTTGTGTGGGGAAGAGTGATGTAGTTGAGCAGCCCCAAACAGGCCTCATTTCCTCCCACAGACCTCCTTCAGCTTGTTGGTGCTCCCTCAGAACTGCCGTGACCTGTGGGGGCAGAGGGCACAGAGGTGGAGACAGAGAGAGATGGACAGATGGACAGATAGTAGATGGACAGATAGATGATCCTCGATTGATGGTACGTAAGTGATTGATTGAAACATAACAGACAGATGATACATAGGTAATTGATAGATGATGGATGATAGAGACAGACAGATGGACATAGATGTGGGTACATATAGTTTTAGGGGAAACTGAGGCACTGAGCTGTGGTCACACCAAATGGTAGATAGAGATAGATGGTAGATAGATAGATAGATAGATAGATAATTGATAGATTGGTAGACTATCATTTTGACTGTCATGGTCAAAATGCATTTCTCAGGGCTGAGGCTGTGGAGTCTGGGAGGTGAGTATCATCAGAGTGAAGTCCCAGCAAGTGTGTCCTGGGGTCCCAGGAGCCAACCCTCTCAAGGCCAGCTTTCTCTTTGCAGGGGACAGCAGTCAGGGGCCCGCCTGAGGGATCTTTCCTGGCGAGCTGCACCCTCACTGAATTCCTGCACTACTCAGCCTCCCCATGCCTGTACCATCAAACTTTCTTTTGCTACCAGGCAACCATTCTAGCTAAGGGCTAATTCTGCCTCCCTTGCTCTCTCCTGAGACCTGTGAGGTACACAGAGGAGAAAACATTCATCTCTGCTGCTTACAGAAGCTCTGCCCAGAAGGCAAGAGCCTTGAAAATAATTTGTGCTGGGAGGTAAAAGAGATACCAGCCTCTAGAATACTGCAGCTTGCAAGAAGTGGTCTCTGGGTGTCCTGGTAAAGCTGTAATTGTATAAAAATGGGTTTTTATATTTTCACTGGTACCACCGTGTGCCGGTGTTGCTGTGCCTCCCTCCACCCACCCCCATCATCATCCGGGAGCTCACCTCTGAAGACAAGGACTTCTCCCCCCAAAGCAGGAAAGAATAAAGGCTTGGGGACACTTAAAAAGGCAAATGCAGCAGACACCTATGCTGTGCTGAGTTCCCATGGTGCCTGGCACACCACAGGTGCTCAATAAATGCTTGCAGAGTACAGGGCAATGTCACAGCAGAGAGACAAAGTTTGCCCAAGCACCATGCCCCCAGGTAGCTGGCCTCTCTTCCTGTGGCTGCTTTTCCAGGAAGCACACTCACCTTCCCAGTCACAACCAGGTTTTGTGAGTGGCAGGAAAGCCTAGAGGATGAGAACATGGGCCTGGAGTTCAGGCTTTGCCTGGGTTTGGATCCTGGCCCTTCCACATTTTACCATGTAATAATATTGGACAAGTCATTTATCCTCTCCAAGCCTCAGTTTACCCATCTATAAAATGGGGATAATACTGCCTTCCTGATAGAGCTGCTGTGAGGATTACATGAGTTAACACAATGCTTAGGACAGTGACTGGAGCATATAATTACCACATGAGTATCAGCTATTGTTGCTGCTATGACTACTGTTACCCTAAAACGCTCCGAAAGCCCAGCAAACTTCATGGTGGAAAGACCAATTAAGAGGCTGGAATCTAACTTTCGAAACCTTCAAATCCATGCTCCACAGGCCTAGCCCCGGGGGTTCTGCTTCTGCACCACAGCCATGGCGGGTCTTGGCGCTGCCCACACCAGCTCCAGTAGGACTCCACAGGAAATGAATTCAGAGCCACGCAATGGGGAGCACGGCCACCCACTGGCAGGCCAGACCCCCGACTTCCCTGGGCCTCGCCTCCCTCTCTGTACCGGGAGCGATGGAGTCCAGGGGCCTGACACCTGGGGCCGCAGGGCCACACCCTCCTCCAGCTCCTGGGAGGCCAGAGTGGAGCTCTGAAGAAAGAGTAGAAAACGTGGGAACGTGTGGACACCAGCAGCAAAGAAACTGGAATCAAACTGGACTCCTGACAACAAGCTTAAGATACCGCATGATCTCACCCATCAGTGAGACCTAATCAACAAAACAAACAAGCAAGCAAAATAAAACCAGACACATGGAAATAAAGAACAAACTGACAGTAACCAGAGGGGAGGGAGGGAAGGGGCCATCAAAGAACATGTATAAAGGACCCATGGACAAAGCCAAAGAGGGGTGGGATTGAGGGTGGGAGGCGGGGGGTCAGGTATGGGGGTGGGGGAAAGTGGTGGTGGGAAAATGAAGACAACTGTACTTGAACAACAATAAAAAATTTAAAAAAATAAACTTAAGAGTTATGATGTCACAATGCAGTGAGCTCGGTAGGTTATGATGTCACGCAGCTGAATGCTCTATGGCCACCAAAACAAGGTCTGTTCATCACAAGAAGAAACTGGGAGTGACCCCCTAAACAGAAATCATAAGCTGTGGAGTCACCAAGCTGTGAAAAGCGGCTTGAGTGTGTAATTACACGTGAACGCTCATGCTTTGCCTTTAAAAAACAATCAGGATGCAAATTCAAATGTGTAATACAATCACAGCATGTATACAAACAGGCACTGAAAATATCTGTAATGAAAAGGCCAAATTTTGCCAATATAATAATAATTTATATTAGGAGTTGGGACTGTGAGGGGTTTTTTTCCCCACCAGATACTTTGCATTTTTTATTTTCTCAGTAATTAATAAGTATGCTTTTACAGTGGTGGAAAGCACACTTTCTGTATTTAAATGAACTGGAATGACTACATAATAGCCTGGGACATGGGCAGCACCAGGTGAGAGACCCGAAGTCAACACTGCGCTCACATCGTGATTTTTAACCAGGGAAACCTGGGTGTGTGTGGACCCGAACCAAACGACGAGAGAGGCGTTTTTAAGCCGCTGGTGCATTCGAGGGGCACTGTGGATGAATCTGTAAATTCTACAAACAATACAGTGTTGGGCATATGATGTATATAAGGCAATAAGCTTAATGTCAAAGAGGAAAATAGCCAAAGTAGATCGGAAGTCACCCATTTCTGAGCTCATCCGCTCTCTCCGGCCCTGGCCAGGGGCCGTGATGAGTTAAAAGAATGTGTGGCACTCGAAAGCCTGAGTGTGGCGGTCCCACCCGGAGCAGGCAGGCCGCCGGCGGCCTGATGTGTTCACTGGTGGGTTTCTCCTGGGACTCACCCGGTCACGGAGCCCAAAGAACCAGCCGGTCAGCTCATGAACTGCCTGGACACTTGGACGAATGCCTCCCAAACCAGAAGCTCTCAGTGCTGAATAGAGAAGGTGCTACTCCAGCCTCACCCCTGGAGAGGTGCCAAGGCAGGCAGGGACAAAGGGCAGAGGTCAGGGAGCAAGGTGCCCAACGTGTCTTCTTCTTTACTATTCCCCCAAAAGGGGACATGGGCGGAAATCCCCCTGCTCTGTCAACCAACATACTACCTGTCCCTAAAAAAACCAAAAATCTAGAAGAGATGTGATAGCTAATGAGTCAACTTTATCACTGACTTCCAGAATGAAGAGGGAGCTTCAGAAGTCACCCGAGAAGCCAGTCTCCCAGTTTGGCTGTGCCGTCTGGACTTCGTGCCTGAAGATGGTCTAGCCTGGCTCTGCTCTTGACCCCCAGGGCCCCCACAGAGCAGGAAACAGCACAGCATGTTGAGCTGTTGCTCTGTGACTTTTCACATCAAAGTATTTCATAGCATTTCACAGATTCTCTGCAGCGATCTCTCACGGGGCATGGCGGAGCAGGCTTGGGGGGATGCTCTCTCTGCTCAGAGGGCTCTAAGCCACTTCCAGGAGGGCCTGCAGGGTGCCAAGGGTCCCCCAGGAATCACTAGGGCCACCAGGCTCAGCCCAGGTGACATGGGAAGGAAGATTTACCCCCCTTCTCTTCTGTCCCACCCATTTCATCTCTACTTCTACCACCCAATGCCCTGGGACCGTGGGGAGTTTAGTTACGTGCATCCATTTCTCCCTCTGCAGCCCAGGTTTAGAGCATTCCAGACATGAGAACCACTCCTGCAAAGAGTTTGCGTCTACCACTGGCACACCCTGGCAGTGGTGAATTCTCCTTGTTGCAACTTAAATCCCTTCAGCTCTGACCTACGTGAACATAGAAATCGGCTCGTGACTTCACAGTTAAGAATATCTCCAAAACCACCCTGGCTGGTGTGGCTCTGTGGATTGAGCACTGGCCTGTGAATCGAAAGGTTGCTGGTTCAGTTCCCAGTCAGGGCACATTCCTGGGTTGTGGGCCAGGTCCCCAGCTGGGGGTGCGTGAGAAGCAATCAATTGATGTTTCTCTCCCTCTTTTTCTCCTGCCTTCCCCTTCTCTAAAAATAAAGAAATAAAATCTTGAAGAAGAAGGAGACGACAGCTAGCCCAGTGGCAAAAACGGAAAGGAAAATACCTGGAAGGGAAGAGTTAAATGCTTCCCTCCCCAGACAAAGGTGCTTATCCTCTTCAAATAACTAAACCCTCTTTTGCTTGGTGTAGGTTTTCCCAATAAATCCAGGTCCTGCAGTGATTTACCAAGAGCCTTGGTTATTGGCAACAGCAATCTCACTTACCCACAGCAGCACTAAGAACAAGCCATAATTTAGAGCTGGATTTATATTGTTTGTTCTACTGCAACAAACCCAGCAAATCATAACTTCCCTCTGAGATGAAGAGAGGAAATTGACAGTATTTATGGACTCGAGAGGTGGAGGAGGACCTGGCCAGGCCTCTGATTTGTGACTGAAACTTCTCCTGGAGGCTCCAGCCAAGGACACGGTGCTGTCCCAGCCCCAGGGAGCTGGGCTCAGGCCAAGTGCAGGGATGAGGTGGTGGGGGAGGTGTGGGTGCCAGGCCAGGTTCTAGCCTCCCCATGGGGATGCCGTGTGGGTGCCAAAGACAGGACATTGCTCTGTGCTCACCAGGACACACAGCAAGCCACGAGGCCAACGAAGACGGTCCTCACTACAGAAGCTTTCTTGCATCAAGGCAAGACCGGTTTGCAAAAACAGCTGGTTCAACTGGTTGGGACATAATTCTACTCGTGAACTACATTCTCACATGTACTGGGGGTTGTGAACTTGCACTTCAGCCTGTGTACTTGATATACTAAATATTACTGTAAGGAACCAAGATGGGATACTGCAAAGCCCATAGGGAACTGGGGAGTCCTCCCCTTTCCTGACGTCTCTCCCATACTCTCCTCCTGTTTTTCTTTTCATTCCTCCCTACCCTGACTCCAATTTCACTCCCCACCCCTCACGCCAAATCCCTCCCACCCAAAGCTCCAGCCCCACACAATTCTCCTAGAAAGCAACTCTCATCCATTCCACACTCAGAAAGCCAATGGAACCCCAGCCTGACTCCTGTGCCAGACACTCAAGGTGGCCCGCCATCCAGGCCCACCTACCCGTCAGCTTTGTCCTCTCCAACGGGCTTGTCCTGCGGTCTCACCGGCAGCCTGCCTGGTCCCCATACATGCCACATGCACTGCTACCACCTCTACAACTAAGAACACTGTTGACAGCTCTTCCCGACTCCTTCCTGGCAATCCTGACCTGTCCTCCTTCAATACCCTGTGGGTGCTGTGTGACCTTGGGCGAGTCATTCACATCACCTGTACTAAAGGAGGCAAGACAACCTCATCCCCACACCTCCTCAACTTCCCACCATCTATGACACACAGGTGGATGTGACATGAAAAAGTTGCCAACTAAGAACCTCAGAGGCCCTGGGCTGCCCACCCCGCCTACACAGCCTCCGGGGAAACACTGAACCAGTGCCTTGTACCACTCTGCAGATTCCCAAGCAGGAAAGGTGGGTCCAGCCAGGGCGGCCCTGGAGAGGGGGCCGGCTGCCCTGGGGAGGGGGCCACGGCAGGAGGCTCACCCAGACTCTCAATCATGGCATCCAGTGCGGTCACAGCGGCAGCATAAATCCCTGCGTTCTTGGAGTTGAGGTTGTCTGCAACGGCGATGAAGATGGAGAGCAGCATGGGGTGCAAGCTCCCTCTGAGGAGGGGGATCATCTTGGCGAGGGACTCCAGAGCCCACTGGTTCACTTTCTTGTTGGAATCCTGAAGCCTTGGGGTGAAAGCATCAAAGACCTATTGAGGAAACAGAAGCCAAGAGCCCGTGGGAACCCAGGCTGGGCAGGAGTCCCGCAGCCTAGCCAACCACCCTCCGCAGGGCTCCTGCTGCACCCGGACTGGGCCATCCGACCTGTGCCAGAGCATTCTCAATGATAAAGAGTCCGCCTCCTCAAAGAGGCGTGGGGAGGGGGCGCCAGAGGGGAGAACAACCACATACTGAGCATTCATTGTGGGCCAAGTTCAATAGCATCCTGTTACGTACTTGGCACTCTCCCTTTCCTAGAATGATCTTACAACCCGTGAGGCGTGTGTTCTCATCCTCACTTTACCATTAAAAACAAAACAAAAACTAAGGCTGAAAGAGGTTAATTCACTTGCCCAGACCACATAGCTCGTAAGAGACATGAATGAAAACCCAGGTCTTCTGACTTCATGCCTGTGTCTGAACTGCTCTGCGCTGTAGCTTGCCTGTTGGCAGCCTTGCCCCTGCAAGAACCATCCATCCTGGTTTCCAGCCTGTGAAAGGGCCATGCCTGCTCCTAACCCATCCTGGCTCCATCACCTGGCCAGCTCCATGCTCTGCCCCCAAACATCATACGTGTACTAGACCAGCAGTGGACCTTGGCCACAGCATCCTTCACTTCTGCCCTCCTCCTCATACATCTGCAAGAAGGGCAGGAGAGGCCCAAGACACCTCCAAGCAGTCCCAGGATGCCTGGTAGGAGGCAGTGCCCTCCCCCCTTCAGCCACTTCCAAGTAGTCTTAGAGTGTTACCATGGCAACTGGATAGCAAATGCTTATTGGGCTTCCTTTACCCTGAAGGGTCTGGCACAATGTCTCACCTTGTTCAGAGTTATCCTAATTGAAATTGTACCCACAGGGAGAGACAGGTGGCAGGGCAGGGGTGGGCGGTGCTCACCTGGACCAGGTTGGCCGTGATGAGCTCTGGCTTGGCCTTGCAGTGCTCGAGGAGCTGCCCCACGCCTTCCCTCCGAGACTGGTAGTCCTTGGCCTCCAGCAGCCGCGTCAGCTCTCGCAGCTGCTCCACCATCTCCGAGCCACCCCGCTTGGAAAAGCGCAGTCCCGCCAGCCTCGGGCCATTGGAGCTGAGACTAAGACAAACAGGCCTCTGACCTGGGCAGCCCAGGGGATGGACACACCTCTCACCCCATGCCCCCTCCCACAGACAGGTGGGGCTGGGGAACTCTGGAAGTCCTTTTCCCTCAGAGACAATATGGTTTATGGAGCCCCAGGGGGCAGAGCTTTCTCTTCCTGCCTTTCTTTCTCTTTTCAGAAGACAAGTGAAGCTTTGAATGAGGGGCTGGGAATGCACCAAAGGATAACTGGGGCACAGTTCATCTAGGAATGGGGGGAGATCTTGCCAGGTGCCCGAATCCTGACCCCTGGTTGTTGAGACCCTGCTCCCGGTGCTCCAGTAACTAGGGAAATGGTTAGAAGCCCCGTTGTCTTCGGCTGGGATCACATGTGCTTGGTAGCCCGGCACAAGAGCATCTCCACCAGGAACTACTAGCCCCACCCCAGCTCAGAGCCCGTGTCGTTGAGCTTGTGCCCTACACCCCAGCACCACCCTGCAGGGCCCAGCGTCATTCACTCTGCCACTCGTTCCCACATTCCCCATCTTTGCCTGCTGAGTGCCAGGACCGTGCTGGGTGCTGAGGACAAGGTGGTGAGAGAGACGGTCTTTGCCCGAAGGGCTCACAGACAGGACAGCTAAGTCAATGGGCTGACAGAGGACTGGAGAATGGGGATGACCTGTCTACCCAGAGGACACGGGGGCACACAGTATCAAAGAGCTTCTGGGAGAGGGTGGCAGGTGAGCTGAATCTCCTGGCATCTTGGAGAATAAGTAGGCATGTGCTAGCCCAGTATAAGGCAAAGAACCAGCAGGAGCAAAGGCACAGTAGGGCGAGAACGTGGAGGGGCCATGCCTGTGGGGGTCGCTTGGTCTGGCTGAGAGGAAGTGTAGGGGAGAGAGCAGGAAGTTACTCCTGGAGAGGCGGGCAGGGCTTCCCTGGGGCCCTGCTAAGGAGTTCAGACGTGGTGCTCAGGGAGTTTGCGTTTTAGGCACAGGGGTGACCTTTAGTTTCCTGTTTGGTTCCTGACTCCTCCTAGCACAGCCCTCCAGAGTCTCAGCCCATTCCTTGTCATCTGCCTTTGTCCCAACTCTGCCTGTGAGCTAGTCCCAGGCCAACTGCTTTTCTGGTGAAAGGATCTGCTGATCCAAGTGAATGGAGAAATGCCGAGTTCCCACAGGTAGCCTGGCTGACAACGCATCCCACCAACACTGGTGGGACGGCACCCGCTTTGGCCATGAGTGCTGGAATGCACTTCCGCCAACACAGGCTCTGAGCCCAGGACGTGGTCTCCCCAGGGTCTGGGTGCGGATCACATCCTATAAATTCTTCCACTAGCACTGCAGACCCGGCTGGGTCTCAGCTGTAGCACAGGTCTGCCCTCCTTCCCAGGGCCACTCCGGGCTGCCTTCAGCAACAGAGTCGGCCATGGAGCCCCAGAGAGACAAGAGTGGCCGTACCCGTCCTCACCAGGCAGCCCATTCTCACACACCGCCAGACTCCTGGACACCTTGCGGCCTCTGGTAGATGGCAGTTCATCGCTGTCTTCTAGGCCCTTGAAAAATACATACAGAGCTTGAACCGAAAGGAGTAGCCTCTGGGGAGCTGCCAGACACTCCAGCCTAGACCATGACCCCTCCCACCTGGGAGGGCCTCCTAGAGCACAGGGAGTCAGTGCAGGGGTCGAGACCCCCATTGCATAGATGAGACGATGTGGAGGTACAGGGGTCCTCAAGACACACAGGCGGTGAGAGGCAGAGCAAGGGGCAAGTGAGTCACATGACCTCCGCCAGCGGGAGTCCTAACAACCTCTGCAGTGCAGTCCCCACCCCCTGATGGGCAGGAGGCTTGCCAGCTCATGCCGACCAGTGACCCGCTCCCACCGACCAACTCACCCTCTGTTTAATGGCCGCCATGACCTTCCGCAAGTCGTGGGACGGAAGAGACTGCTTCAGAAACGCATCAAACTTTGTGTTTGACATCAAGGCATTCACCATCTTCCGGCCATAAAACCTGCCACAGGGAGAAGAGCGAGATGAAGACGCAGCCACAAAAATGCATCATAAACGTGCTGCACAGGTGCACACAATGTCCTAATTACAGTAAGAGTTTTTAATGCTTTTTCTAATTATGACAAGAATCTTTACCCAGTTAAAAATTAGATCCACAAAAAGTTAAATACACTCACACTCCCATTACCAAGAGAAAAACCACTGGTATGTTTTTACATGTTTTCTTATAGTCTTTTTCCATATGTACATATTTAGTTAATATCAGAATGCATATACAACTTGTATTTAGCTCTTTTCATTTAATCACTAACTGTCTCTCCATGTCATCCTTTTTAACAGGTATATAATATTCTGTTGGGTGGCCATATTCAAAATGCATATAATTATTTCGTACGGGACACTTAGAAGTCTGAGGAAGGGTGCAATACAGAAGGGAGTGATAAATTATACCTGGTGAATAGTGGTAGGTGGGGAAAGGAGTCAAGGAGGGCTTCATAAAAGAGGTGACCCTGGGCTTGGTACTCAAAAGATGAGTAGGAGTTCACAAGTGGTTGGAATAGGGAAATAAATTGGAGGAGAGACACAGTCTAGGGCTCACACAACAGCCTGACACATCAGCAGGTGTGTACTTGCAGAAAGGCAGGCAGGGACTGGACTTGGGGACAGAGTAGTTTGGAGGAGAAGGTAGGACGAGTTTAGGGAGCTGGGAAGGAGTTGGGCTTAGACTGCAGGCAATGGGAAGTCGAGGAAGGGTCCGATTTGCACTTTGACCAAAATGTCTCTGGCAGCAGTGTGGGGGACAGGTCTCTGGGGATAAGCCTGGGGCAACGTTCACTGCCTTCGGTGACACTGCTTCATGCGCAGAGACGGCCCTTCCACCTGCCACCTCAGGAGCAGACGGAGCATCACTGTGGGTAGGGTTCTTCTTCCGGTCAGTCAACTACTTGGTGGTGTCTTTGCAAGGAAAGTGGAATTTTGGTCATTCCCTCACTGATGAATGTTTGCATTAACATCTAATTTATACCCTATTACTCTATCTCCATGCCTTTTCTCAGAGGCAATAACTTTTCATTTCAATGCTGAGTAACGATGTAGTATTTCTAAGACATTTTAAACAGCAATTAAGGTCAACAATTCCTCACAGAGCATCCACGGTGACTTATTAAAATAAATATGAAAAGCTAACAAGTAAAGAAAGGCTCACGGTGTAGTTCCTCCAGTAAAATTTTAACTGAAAGGTTTATACCATGAGTGTTTGCTAATGTGCAGATAGTAAAACCTAAGTCATAACTGCTCCCTGGTCAATAACGGAGACTTGCCTCTGGTTGTAAGATGTTAAAATGTGGGGAGGAAACATGTGTCTTAGAATCAATGAAGTGTGAAATTCCCCATTCTGCATCTTAGATGACTCAGTAAGTAACAGTGACTTTTCACAATAGAGGGAACACAGCTGAAGAAGCAGCTTGGAAGAAGACAATGAGTCCATTTTGGGACACTTGGCACCGAAGATGGCAGGTCCTCACAACGTCAGAGATGTAGGACTGAGAGGGTGTGGGCCAGAGCCACAGGCTGGAAAGCATGGGCGTGTGCTGGGGGGGAGGCACCGGAAGTGAAGACATGATTCAGGGAAGGTGCTAAGGACACCCCTGTGTCTTTAAGAGACAAGGACTAGACACTCCTGTGGCCATCGGCCTTCAGAGGACAGGTAGGGGGGAGAAATGGCCCCAGAGGGACAATGAGAACCAGGGACTCAAGTGCCATGGGAACGAGAAGCATAGGTTCTAGGAAGGAAAACGAGGTGTGGTGAACACTGTCCAGGGTAAAAGGATGGTCAGAGTGGAGAGGGGGTTGGATCTGGAGAGATAATGGACTTCAACTTCCGTCCCCCACCAACAATAAAAAGGAACTGACCAATACTGCACATTTCACTAATGGCAAAACCATTCACCCAACTGTTCAGTTTACAAACCTAAATGTCATCTTTGCTCCCCCTTTGAGGGCCTCCTCACCCACCTCCTGTGGGCTCTGCCTTCAAAATACACCCAGATTCACCTTCCTCTCCCTGCAGCCGGTCTTTGGCACCTCTCTCCTGGACGACGGGGTAGCCATCAACCAGCCTGGTGGCCCTCCTCCATCCTGCCCCACCCACCCCCTGTCAACCCCCCAGTGAGCAGCCAGAGAAGTTTGGTTTTTTTATCAATTATTTTTTGACTTTCTGTTGTTGTTGTTTTGTGCAGGGGGGAGTTTTGTTTGTTTTTTATGGGTTTTTGTTTGGTTTGGTTTGGTAAAAGGCTAGCAAGCATATGAAGAAATGCTCAAACGAGTAATGGGGAAACAAAAACTCCGAAACAAGGAGCTGGCCATTTACTCATCCGATCGGTGGAAGTCCGAGACCCCGCACAGCACAGCACCGGGCACTGCCCTGAGGAGGCGGACGCACCTTGGGCCCTGCAGGAGGGAGCCGCTTACAGGAGGGGGGCACTTCTTGTCTTTTCCTCTATATCCCCTAGCCGTACCTAAAAGTATCATATTTATTTGTTTACTGTTCATCTACCCCACTAGGAGGCAAACTCCAAGAGAGCAGAGGCCTAATTTTTCTTGTGCACTGTCATGTCCACAAGAACGAAAAGGGTGCTCCTTACCTATCTCCTGAAAACAGCCGCCTTTACAGAGAATGGAGCTGAGGCAGAACAGGACAAGGGCACGGCCATGGTGGCCACAGGGAGGAGGAAAGGCGGAATGTGGGGGTGAGGCCTGCTGGCTGTCCCCTGGGCAGGCCTGGCAGTCATGACGGGGACACATGGGCCAGCAGTAAGGAAAGGACACAGGTCTGTCCTTCCAACTGTCCGTCCACATGATCAGGGGCGGCTGCGCGGTGCGGGCCACGCTGGCTGCTCACCGTATCCGCCCTGGCCCCGCGTTACCTGGTGTCCTGGTTGGAGTCCTGTGCCAGTCTCACCAGGTTGTGCACCAGCGTGTCTGTACTGTCCCTGCTGCCGGAGAGAAGCTTCTCGGCACCTATCTGCTCCAGGACCACTGAGAGGTGCTCGGCGGTGCACTTCCGGACTGAGGGGTTTCTGTGGCTGAAGGAAAGGACCACAGTCAAGGGCTCGGTCAGGGAGTGGGACGTGGGGTCCCCAGCCTGGGGCACATGGACCTACTATTGTGCGTCCACATTTCATGCTGTGGTGGGCTCCAAACTCTGTCCCCTGCAGGCTAAGGGGACTCTTTGAGGAAAGAGCAGAGCCTTCCTGACAGTGGAACTTAGAATGATGACAGGCACCGTGGGACAGGTAAGAAAAGTGAAGCCACCCGGTGCTCCCCAGCTACACCTGTGCCCACCACCCTCTGCGCCTTCCAGAGCTCACAGTCTGCCTTTGCATAAATGCTCATTGCCACCCTTTCGTCTACCCAATCAGCATCTCCTCCGCCTTCCCTAGCACCCCCAGGCGGACCTAGATGCGCCCTGGGGTAGCACTGCCCCTGTCCCCTGGGAAGCTCAGGGGCAGCCCTGCGGCTCCCCAGTGGGGCTGGAGCTCCTGGGAGGGCACAGCTAGTCTCCCCCCAGTTGAATCCCCAGCGCCCGCAGGTGCCTGGCACATGCCGACACATAGTAGGAGCTTACTGTGGAGCTGAAGTGGGAGAGGACAAAGGGACAGGAGGTTGACGAGTGACTTGGCAGTCCTAAAAGCAGGAACCTCAAATCTTATGAGAGAACTCCATCGGGATGTCACCTTTCTTTTTCATCTTTATAAAGCAGGGTCTCCGTGTCCACAGCCCGTTAGATGCCACTAGCCCCTTCCCGCACCCCTACCGGGCCCTTCCCTCTACCAAGGAGCACTCCCGGCTCTCCCTAGTCAGTGTGGGTCAGGCACCAGGCCGTCAGCGTCTGAATCAGCACCTGCCTTTGAGGGGGTCCCCAGGAACTCAGGGCTCCCCTGAGGACTCCCCACCCAGTTCCCGAAACACTGATCAATTATCTCAGGTGGCAGTGAGGGCGCTCTGCTGAGCACCTTCAACCATCGTCTCCTCAACTCCACAAGCCGCTGCTTTGCTCATCGTGCAGGTGGGAAGCTGAGGCAACGGGAGGAGCCCAGGACGAAGTACAATCAATCTCTCCCATGTTATAGCGGCCACTGTAGGCAGGTGATACACATCGGGCAGGGGACAGGCCCTGCTCTAAGTGCTCTTTCCTGAGTCAATTGCTTTACTCCTCACAACAAGTTTATTACTATTCCCATTTTACAGATGAGAGAACGGAGGCACAGGGAAGTTAAATAACCAGGATGTGATCCAGGCAACACGGCTCCGAGCCCCTCGCCCTTTGCACGGGCCGAGGCCCAGGGGCCTGCTGGTGGCCCCCCGACACTCTCTGAGTAGCCTCCCAGCAAGAGTGAGAAGTGTCCGACCTGCTTGTGGTTGATAGTGTCCTGCTGTCTGGGAGGAAGGGCGTGAGCAATGCTTTTGCTACTTACTCACGGGGAAAGCAAACCTGGCAGCAGCAGTCATCAGCCCCCCTCTCCTACCCAGGAGAAGGCTGAGCGCGCCCACCAGAGAATGACATTGTGTGCCTCGTTCTGCTGACATCTCTCTCCGCACAGGCAGACCAGTCCCCAGGGATGTTACCACAGCCACCAAGAGCTCCTCGGCTCTGAACAGAACAAGGCTCTCCCTTTCCAGCCAGGACCTCAGGGCTGCCCTGAGCTCACCCCATCGGCTGGCTTGAGAGAGGTGGGGCAGAAGCTCCCCCAGCTGAATGGGTGAAGCACTTGCTCCGCCCCCTCCCTCCCCTCCCCTTCCTGGACCGCCCTCACCCCTCACACAGCTAACTGGCGGCCACATACTAGATGCCCGCTGAGGTGAGGGCCACGAGGGATCGCGCCGGGGTCACATGCTCCACCATGGCCCCCAGGGACCGGTTGGCTGCTCTCTGGATGAACTCGCTGGCGTTCCCCATCTTCTGCAGCAGGCAGCAGGCAATGTCTTCAGCCTCCTGGTCCATATTCTTCTTCAAGGCCCGGAAGAGGTCTCCCAGGGTGCTGATGGCCAAGCGGGACACCTTGGAGCGGAGGTTGGTGACCTTGGAGAGAGATAGGAGAGGGGCCCTCCAGCACTGCTGGACTGGAACGGGGCCCCGCCCCAGGCCCAGGCCTGGCCACGCTGGAAAGAAAGCCCTGCAGCAGCTCTGGGCAGAATAGTTCCAAGTTTAAAATAGTACTGTTGTTGTCATCATAATCACGAACTCCATCATCATCTGAAATTTGTACAACAGTCTTCAAAGCTCTTTTACAAATAACGTTCAATTTGATCTACACAAGGCCCTCAGGGAACAACCTGTTCCCAGGGGGTTGGGGGGGCAGCCTCCATCTGTGATGAGGGGCATCTTACTGCCCATCTAGGCCCAGGCCCAGCCCCCTGGGAGAGAGGGCTGGGAAAAGCTACAGCGGCGCTGAAGCTGGAGATCCGGCCCAGAACACTGCGCCCTCCTCTGGCATTCTGAGCACAGGGGACGATGCAGGGCTGTGATACGGAAGCAAGGAAACCCCAGCCTCAGTTTTCCAACCTGACACACGGGTGGCTCAGGGTTGAGAAATAAGTGGGGACGCTCCTGTTCCAAGAAGCCGTGGGCCCCTCGGTAGCCATTATGTGACCCACTTTGGACCGCAGCCCCCAGGAAGGGGGGCTGATGGGGGGCGGGCAGGATGCACAGTACACAGGTGGTCTGGGAGGCCTCACCTCCCCAGTCACGGCCAAGGACACTTCGTGCAGCCTCCCAACGAGCACCTCTGAGTGACAGGCCGCCAGGCGTTGGATGCTCACCAGGCCCTTCTCCTTCCTGTGCCTGAGAACCAAGTCCAGGCCCGTCACAGGCAGGTGGGGCGAGAGGAGCCCGCCCCTCCACAAGCCAGGGGCACCCACACGGCCGCCCTCTTCTCACCAGAGCAGGGCGGGAGCTGGTGGCCCCTAGGCAGGGTGGCCTGGTGTAACACCCAGGCGGAAACCTTAACAGTCCAGTAAAAGCCACTTTAGGGGGCCCATGGCTCAGCCCCCCCAAAAGAGAATCCCCCCACCCCAGGCCCTGGGAGCACACCCGACACAAGCCGCAGTGCCTTCAAGACAAGGTACTGGAACATGAGGACTGGAGACAGGGAGGGCTTCCCGCAAATGTTCTGGACCCCAAGCCCCGGTTCTGCTTCCCACTTGGACCGTGTGTCCCCCAGCGCAGTGGCAGGGACACTGGGGGCAGGCCGAACATGTTGTGGAGAAACACAGGGCTGCGACCTTTCTAGGGAAGGTCACCCTGAGAGAAGTGCGGAGCCACTTCTACTGGCCACGCCTGACACCCACTGGTGTGCCACAGCGCAGTGCGCTGGGCTGTGGAGTCACAGGGCAGACACAGGAGGCTGGACTCACACTCACACACACACACACACACACCCCTCCTTTCCTGGGACCAGGCCCTGGCAGGGTGGGGGAGGGCGGGGAGGAGGACAGCGGAGGGGCAGCAGCGATTCTGTGGCTCTCCCCTGGCCACAGCGCACAGAGGGGAAGGTGTCACCTCACCAGTCGCTGCTGTCCAGCCACTGGAGGGCATCCATCAACGCCAGCTCGGGGTTGGAGAAAGGCCTCAGCTCCTTAAAGGCCCAAGGATCTGTCTCGTCCTCCTCATCTTCCCACTCAGGCCACCCCAGACTCAGCACCGCGGGCAGTGAGTTCGCTGCGCTCACAGAAAGGAAGAGGAACGCGGGAGCTTTCACCAGGAGGACCCAGGGCTCCGCCCGCAGTGCTGAGCCCACCTTTAGGGGGTTGACGTGCACCAGAGGAAGGGACTGGGCAGGGCTGAGAAGCCAGCACCCTGGCTCTGCTCCCTGGGGGCCCATGCAGACCACCCCTCTGCCTGCTGTCACTTCCCTCCACTCCTGCCTCCGCCAGCCTGAGTAATATTGTAGAAGCACACCAGCCTGCGATGCGCTACTTGATGCTGTGTGATTGTACCCCTGCAGCCAGCGATGCACCCCCAGTCCTGCCCTATCTGTGGCTGGGTGAGCACGGTGGGTCTGTCAAGGAATGACTCCCCCGCTCGCTGGGGTGCCCTAACCTCGCACCCAGCCAGGAGCCTAGGTTATCAGCTTCTCCTCTTCCCCACCCCCCACTCTCCATCCTTCTGTGAAGTTGCCCAAGGGCAGGGAGGTGGTCCCAGGCTGGTGGCCAGAAGAAGCAGGGGACAGGAAAGCAGCCAGGCTCCTGCAGTCGTGATGCGGCCCAATTTGTGGGACTGACCAAAATACTCGCATGGTGTTTTTCTTCCAGTTAAACCACTTTCCAAATCTCACACCCATTCATTTTAGAGGGAAATTTATGCCACTACTATCACGGGTAAACTAACATTATCGTAAAACATGGTAAATATTAGCAGCAGAAATAAAAGAACGTCATGAACTCCCCCATAAAATTGCAGCCAGTGTCTGACATCTCAAGTCTGAAGGAAGAGCTCTCTTTGAAAAGGACACCGTGTCTGCAAGTCTTACACGCAGGCCAAAGCAGGCCTGATGCACCTCCGGACAGAGGGAGAATGAATGGGGAGGGAGGCGGGCCGGTGTATTTCTGGCCCAAGAACGATGCCTGCTCTCCCATCAATGTCCCATCACGCCCCACACTTAAAGAAACTCTCAGCCAGGTTGGCAGTTTTCAATGTTTTTTTCACAGCAGAATCTTTTTAAGTGAAATCTCACATGGATGCCCAATGTAGAAAAAGTGAGGCAAAACAGACATTCCTCTGTCAGAAGAGGGATGGAGCCTCCCTCAGCCCCTTCCTGAACATCTCACAGAATCTTTGGGTCCTCAGATCCAGTCTGTGCCCAGCACTGTCCAGCCCTGACGTCTCACGAGGCAACGTGCAGGAACCCATGGTCTTCCCAGAACCCTCTCTCTTCTTCTTCCTGGTGTTCGCAGCTATTTTTGTGGATGCTGTTTCCTAGCATCTTGGTCCTGGTGCTCTGGTGAGTCCTCCAGGACATACTGCATAGGGTGGGTATACCTGTCCACCCACCACGTAAGTCCAGTGGGGGTACCCTGGGTCCCCAGCCTGGCCCATAGATGCTCTGACTCCAGACTCTGTTCCTGTGTCTGATGAGGGGACCACCACCCCTACTCTAACCTGGACAGAGCAGAGCAGCCAAGTTCACCCATGCCATGCCCACCAAAGACAGCCCAGCAGGAAGGACCCGTGCACCCCGCCGGCCGGTCTGGGCCCCACCTGAGGCATGGCGGGCGAAGCTGGGCTCCTGCCTGCTGACAGGGATGCTGGGCAGGGAGGCCCGGTTGGCTCGCTTCCTCAGGATGACGCCGATGTTGTTTCTGCGTGGGCTGCTTATCCCTGTGGGTACCGACAGGGCCCCCCTGCTCCGGAGGGGGAGCAGGCCTGTGGGGGCAGAGAAAGCCCTAGGATGGAGCTGGTTCCGTCTGACCCACGGCCCCATGCCCTCCTTTGGAAACGGGCCCAAGAGCAGGCTTCAAAGGAGCAGGTGCGGCTCCCTGCCCGCGCCTGGTAGAGAGCGGGGGCAGCCTCTCTTTTGGTCAAGGCACTGGCCACGAAGTCTCCCCAGCCCCAGGGAATCCTGCCCCAGGTTCCCAGTACCTTCCTTCACCAAGGCTTTGCGGGCACCCAGGCTCTGGGCCGTGAGCTCCCGCTCCCTCTCCGGCTCCTTCGCCCTCTGGAACACATCCAGCTCCTTCATCTGTTTTGCTCGCATCTTCTCCTGGGCGGACTTGGAGATGGTGACCTGGACCTGGCACAAGGTCAAGGCAAAGTCCATTACTCCTGGGGTCCCAACCGTGCTTTCCATACTTTCATTCATTTAATTGTGTGCCGGTCACTGTTCTGAAAAGAAAATGACAAAGTCCTTGCTCCCAATAAGCTGCCATGGAGAGGGGAGCCCAAGGGACAAAGAACAGACAGACAGGTTTGTAAGGACAGGCGATGCACGCCAGCAGGAAGCAAGGCCCAGAGGGCGACGGGCTTCTGTTTTAGGTAGGAGGGCCCGGGGAGACTAAGTGAGGAGGGGAAGTGTGGGCAGACACGGAAATGAAGCGAGGCAGCAGGGCATGCAGAATTCGAGCAGTGTTCTTCCCAGAGGGAACGGCCAATGTGGGCTCCCTGAGGCTGGAGTGCGCCAGGCATGCACAGAGCAGTGAGGAGGGCACTGGCTGGAGCACCCAAGGCAGAGGATGACGGGTCACGGGCTGGCGGTGGTGGGGTGAGGGCACGCTCACTCCTGGTGAGCCTGGTGAGCGTGCCCTGGGCTCAGTAGCCTGTGGTGAGGACGTGGGCTTTTCCTCTGAAGGATACAGTGAGCCCCCGGGGGTTCTGCACAGAGGGGTGACACGATCTGACTTCCATGGGCAGAGGGGTTCTAAGTGTTGTTTTTTATAACTAATTTTGAAATAATTGAAGACTCATGAGAAGCTGCAAAAATAGAACCAAGAGTCCCCATGTGATGGGGTGACAGGCTTGCTCAAAGGGAGCAGGAATGGGCCGGCAGACTGGCTGGGTCTGGACCATTGCAAAGCAGAGCCCGCCGCCCTTGCTGACGTGGAAGGTGTGCGATGAGAGAGCAGGGGGAGGCAAGGACGGGCCGAGACTTTGGGCCGGAGCAACTGGACGGCTGGGCTGCCTTTTATCGCCACTCACTGAGAGGGGACACTGAGAAAGAGAGTTTTGCGGGGGTGATGTTTCAATAGTTGAGTTTTGGAAAAGGTAAGTTTCAAAGATAATTAGATACCTAAACAGGATGGTGAGCATCCATCCATACACACACACACTTACACGCATATATCTATAACTTATACATATAATTATATATGGTAATTTAAGGTTATAAATGATATGTTATATATATAATTAAACTGCTACTTGATGTCCAAGGAGGTCCGGGCTGGAAGGGACACTCAGAAGTCCTCAGCAGATAGATGGTCCTTGATGCCACCAAGTGGATCAGGTCACAGGGGTCAGTATAAACGCGTAAGAGGCCAGAAGTCTGAGCTCTGGGGGCCTGTGGCATGCACAGGTCAGGACTGTGCAGAGGGCTGGCCATGAGGGGGCTGCCTTTGATGCAGGCAGACAACCAAGGAAGAAGCCTCCCTCCCTGGGTGGGGAATCCAATAGAACTAGCTAGAAAGGCTGCTGAAGGGTCAAGTTAAAAAAGGACAGTGCTCCACCCCTTGGACAGTGGCGGTCATCAGTGACCTTGACGTGAGCTGTTTCAGGGGGCGGTGGGGACTCAGACCTGGCTGCAGTGGGCTCAGAAGAGAATGGGTTCTGCTTTTCCAGAGAGTCATTCTGGTTTCATTCTGTTTCATTAAGATGAAAGAATCAACAGAGAGTTAAGATGCTGATGGGAAGGATCCAATTTCTAGGAGAATATTGCTTTTGTGAGAGAAGGAACACAGTGCTAGAGGTGGAATATTAGATGGATGGAGCTAGAACAACAGGAGACAGTGGTGAGACAATGGGTGCTTGAACTTGAGGTGCTGGTGGGAGGTGAAGACATCCTCAGCACCGTGGTCTCCGGTGTGACCGCAGGGGTGGGTGACTAGGGCGAGGCGGGGGACGGGGTCCTTTCACTGCACTGGATCATTCCCCCCGTCTCACGGCCTGTCACCTGGCCGCTGTGGGAGGGCTGGGGCTCCCACCGCACCATCCTCACCTCTGGACTGGGCCCTAACACCGCACACACACACAGCAGGCCTTCAGGGTGTGTCTGGTGCACTTCCACATCTCGGTGTCAAAGGGGGAGCACGTGTCCCTCACACAGTGACCCTCCCAGCTTTACTCAACTCATTCAGGCAAAAGAATCGTCTGGGCCAAGGTCACCTCAGAAGTGCAAGCTGTTTGTCAGCCTGTCAAGCACAGCCTTTGGCTGACGTCTGTCTCAGTCAGCTGCCTCTGGGTTGCTATCTTGGGTGTTGGCTCGAATTACTCGGCTTGGTTCACCTAAGCCCCCCTGTACTGCCCTCCACATCCTGCTTCCTTCTGAACCTCCAGTGACCTCCTTCCGCCCTCCCTTGCTCCCTCACTGCTGCCCTCGGCTCCCCCCACCCTGTTCCCTTCCCTGCACCTAGTCCCCCTCGCCCCTCCTCCTCCCCTCTCTGCTTCCTCTGTTCTCAGCCTTCTCTCCCGAAGGCTGTCCACAGGTTCTGGCCTTAAGTACCAGGGGCAGCTGCCTCGAGGCTCTTCCCTGCTTTCCTCAAGCTGGACCCACGCTGGTGTGTTTCGAACACACGCTGGCCTTCAGCCCAGGGCCCACTTTGGCCCGACCTCCCCCTCCTCTGGATTTCCAGGTACCTCGGTGCTGCTCTCCTTCTGGTCCTCTTCCTTCAGCGGGGGATGGGCGTCGGCGTGGCCGGAGAAGGCTGCCCGTGTGGGAGCAGATCGAGGTGAAGGCACGGCGGGCTTCTCGGGGGCAGCAGACCTGTCCCTGATGGGCAGGGCCAAGGGTTTTGGCTCTAAGGAGTCAAGGACAAGAAGGGAACTGAGGACACCCAGCACCCTGACCAGCAGCTGTCCCTCTGGGAAGCCCTGAGGCTCTATGACCCTGTGACTGATGTGACATTTTAGTGCCTCAGCCCCCAATTCTGCCCAACACTCCCTGGATGGAGAAAGACCCAAGTCCAATTCACTGCAGAGAAGCTCTGATGGGCGTAGCACAGGCTGTCATGCACCCATCCGTCCCTTCATTCATTCAGTAATGACCGCACACCTCATCCTAACACAGGGAAGGCGGGGAGAAAGCCTGGCAAGACACAGACAGGGCCATCCGGTCTGTTACTGCAGTGGTTTAAGGAATTTCCTGAGAATATAAATCCGTCTTACCTGGGAGGCCGGCACCTCAGGAAAAAAATGAAACGAGCCCCCGGCCACCTCATGCCATCGTGCGCCTGCCTGAGCCTGCGGCCCACACGAAGGGACAGAGGGCTGGGCCCATCCTCTCATGTTATAGATGGGAAAGCTGGGCCAGCGACCCTCGGGTGCTCTTGTGACACAGACTCATCTCCAAATGACATCGATCCGCACTATTTCTTCATCATTCCCTATTTCCCCAATCAAGTGATTTTAAAAGTACATTTCTTATCATGGAAGTAGGGCAAGGGCAGGGTCGTTCATCTTCTTTTAATGACAGAAATGCTAACCAGTTTCTCCCGCTCACAAAATTTGGAGCTCACCGCCCTTGGGTGAACCTGCAAACCAGGGGTCTGCTGGGATGGGGGCCACCCTCCGGGGCTGCCTGAGGCTGGAAAGGACGTCTGAGTCTGGGGCCCCGCGGAGCCCCCAGGTCACCCTGGTCCCCTGCCTGACCCATGCCTTCTGTGAAGGTTCCCTGTGCTACGTGCAAGGAGCAACCAAGGCCCTGGAGAAGAATCAATGGCCAAGGAGGTCAGGGGCTGGCTAGCCTTCCATCTGCCCAAAAGTAAGGGGCAATGCCGAGGGCACAGGTGCCCTGGTGCCGGCTGACCAGGGCAAGGACTGCAGGAAGCTGCAAGGTTTGGGGTAGCCCTCAGCTCCAGACAGTACCATGGGAGCCCCTCTGGGCCAGGGGTGTTACATGGACTGGGCAGTATTACCCCCAGCTGACTGCTGGAGAATCAGGGAGCCCTTTAAGGATGTTGCTGCTTTCAATCCCCCCTCCCCACCTACACCTCTGGGAGACAGACACCTGGAAAGCCTTGTCCAAGCACCCTGCCCCCGCTGGCAGGCAGTGGGGACCTGGCTCCTCAGGCAGCAGGTAGTCGGGCAGACACGGGAGTGGTCACAGACCGGGGTCTCCCGCCCCAAGTCCCCACACCAGCACTCTCAGGGATGGCTCTGGGGGACCCTCAGGGTGCCAGGGTGAGTCACACCAGAATGCTGAGCTCACCCGCCGCAGCCCAGCCTGGGAAGCGGGGGACGCAGCCAACACAGAGGTCTCTGTGCCAGGCCTGCCTCTAGGGCCCAGCTGCTCATCCTGACCCTGGGGCCTCTTGGCCCACAGCCTGTGCCTCGCCAGCTGACCCGCTGCTGAGCTGATTACAAGGGCGGCCTGCCGGGAAGCTGGACTAGAGTCCACGCCTCTCGCTGGTGAGGCCAGGCTCAGGGTGCCCTGCCAAGGTCCCCTCACCTAACCTGCCCAGGGCTCAGCTTCGGGCCACCTCACCCGCCTCTCCCCAGATGGGTCACCGGGGTGGGAAGCCTCCTCCTCCCTCATCTAAGCCTGTCCCCCGCCTCCCTCCCAGCCCCGCTGGCCCTGTTCCCCTGACACTGGAACCGTCTGGTGACTTAAGGGTTTGTGAGGCATGGGCGAACTTCCACCTCTGTCTGGCGAGGAATGCCCTCCTCCTCCGGCCTAACATGGTGCCGGGCCAGCCACGCAATGTGCGGCTTCAGAGCCTCAGACCCAAGTGCAGATACGACCGGTGACCTTCCACACTCCGAGACCAGGGCCAGGTCTGGGTCCCTGAGCCTCGGTCGTCCCTTCTTCAGCCAAACAGGGACGGAGCCTCCTCTCTCAGCTGGGTCCTTGTGTAGTACCTCACACTGGTGCCCGTCAGCCCTGGGGCGGAGCCGGGGCCGCCACTGTGGCATGACAGCCAACATCAGTGTCCCCAAATGAGAAGCGAGGGGAGTGGGTCTGACAGCTCCCAGGTCTCTTCTGGACCTAATTCTGACCCCGCAACCCAGCATCGGACCCCGAGAGTTGAATGACAAGGGGGGGTGCGTGTGGAGAGTACATACCGAGAGATTTCGGGGTCTTCTCCCGAGGCCCACTCTCCCGAACCAATCTTAAAAGAATGGGGGAGAAAAAAGCACCATAAGCAAAGGGAAAGCTCCTGCCATAAGGAGCACTGGGTAGTAAGTAGATTGAGGACAGGGTGACAGCCAAGGTGGGGGACCCTGTGGAGGGGGGCCCTGTAAAGAGGCTCTTGGTCAGGGGTTCAAAGCTACAGTAATGCACCTCCTTCAACAAACTCAAGGTCAGGCTAGGTGTCCAGACACAGATCTGAGCCCCATTTCCCAGCTGCATGGACCCTCCGTTCCCCAGGAAGCCAATGAGTATCAGAAACTGCTCTGTCTTGAAGGAAGCCCACCCCCATTGTGAACTGCATGGGGTCAGGGTTAAGTCTCCTCCCAGCTCAGAGCAGGCTGAGCTCAAGTCCTCCAAACTGGCCCCCACTCATGAAAGCCTGACTTTTAAATCCCCCTCCCATGTACCCCAAGAGGGACTGACCCCCTTCGCAGCTGATGGGAAATCCTTACTGTTTGTCTTAGAGCTTCAATCCCAAACTGCCCACAGGGAGAGAATAGATGGGCATTCCTTTGCTGGTTTTAATTGTTAGTATTTTCAATAGGCAGCACCATTTACTCATTCAACAGATACTTGGATTTTTTTTAAAGATTTTATTTATTTATTTTTAGAGAGTAGAAGAGAGAGAAAGAGGAAACATCAATGTGTGTTTGCCTCTTGTGTACCCCCTGCTGGAGACCTGGCCCACAACCCAGGCATGTACCCTGACTGGGAATCAAACCAGTGACTTTCTGATTTGCAGGCCAGGGCTCAACCCACTGAGCCACACTGACCAGGCCTCACTCAAGAGATATTTGTTGAATGAGCCCCGTGCTAAGCACCGCACCAAGCACCTACTCTGTGCTGAGCACTGTTCTAGACCCTGGGAGGAGAGAGCGTCAATAAATCAGAAGATGATTTCTGCCTTCCCACCCCCAGAGCTGTCACTCCACGAGGACCAGGTGCATGTCATCCAACGTGGCTTTTCTCGTCTTGTGGGGAACTGCACGACACCAGGACCCCCTGGGGCCCGACAGGGTAACAACCGCAACGAAAGGGCTGGGGAACAACATCCTGTGTGCTGACCTCAGAGGACTCACTCAGCAGAATGACCCGGGCTGGGGTGACCCGAGGACAGGCGGGAGGAGAGCCCACTCCAGCACCTGCCCAGACCCAAGGGATCCGATCCCAGGAGACCATGGCAGTCAGGGGAGACTCGCAGCTCCCTAAATGCCTCGGTCAGTCCTCCTTCACATGTCTCCCCCTTCTCCTTTTTGAAAACTCTCCCACAGCCTTCCCATCAGCTTGGGCCTCCCCTCCTCCAGGAAGTCTTCCCAGCCTGATCGAGATTGCCTGCCACTGAGCTCCCCAGAGTGGCAAGCAGACTTCTGTCTTAGCACTTAGCACTTCCAGGCCACAGTTCACTTGTAAATCCCCCTCATGAGCGACTAGAATAGAGATGCCGGGCCTGGTTTGGCTGTGTTTCTGCAGCACCTGGCAGATAGTAGGTACTTACCATATTTTTCAGACCGTAAGAAGCACCTAGGTTTTAGAGGAAAATAGGAAAAAATATTCTGAAGCAAAAAATGTGGTAAAATATTTAATAACATAAATAACATAATATTTCACCAGTGTAAATGTAAACAGAACTCAACAGCAGCATTAACAACCATTGTTCCTCTCAAATTTAAGGGGGTGAGGGGGGAATGGTGCATCTTATAGTCCAAAAAATAGGGTAATAGTTTTAAAGTGCATCAGTGGAAGGATGGATGGAAGGATAGACAGATGAATGGACAGAGAGGTGAAAGAAGTAACTAGGCTCCTCCCCACCCATTTGCTAGAGCGTCTCACAGAGCCAGCGCAGAGAAGGCTGGTCCCATCCCGACAGCAGGTGGGCAGGTCTTTATGATGTGCCAGCCCCCTTCAGGTGCCAAGCTCGGCAGCACAGGAGCTGCGGGGATTTGGAGGTACGGCCCCTGCCCTGAAGTGCTCCAAGTTAAAGAACAAAATGGGTTCAAATGAAAGTTGAGCAAATCAATACAAGGCTGTGGTCAGGCTCTCCAGGGGCTCCATACCATGTGGACCCTGCAGAGAAGATGCCTCCCTCCTTACCACTCCAAGGAGGGCAGGGAAGGCCTTAGAGCAAGGGCTGACCTGGAGCTGGGGCTTGAATAGTAGGAACTGAATGGGGGGCGTGGCAAGGGTGAAAAGCTCGGTTGGAGCGGCCGGGATGCAGAGAGGGAGCTGCCACTCAGGGCTCCTCGAGTCCACAGGGGGTCTGGTGGGGGGGGGGTTCCTGCAGAGTAGCACAGGAGAAAGGGTGTGGAGCTGGGCACCTCTAAGCGCAGGCCAGCGAGACTCGTCCTTAAGTGGCTGGCACCAGAAAGTCAATACAGGTGAAGTGCATGGGCGAGGTGTATGGGGTGAGGGGTGAACACGAAAGATTAGAATGCGGGGCCAAAGGGCTGCAAGAAGACAGGTTCAGAGCTACAGGGAGGGGGGAGGAGATCGGCAAGTGAGAACTGAGAGGAAAGGCAGGGTCAAGGGAGAGGTGGGAATTCTTGTCTTTTCCTTGTTGTTCAAGAAAGACTTGGTGGATGTGGTGATCCCTTAGGAACAGAATGTGATAGGGGCAAGAGTCAAAGATGGCGCCAAAATGGGAAGACAAAGGAAGATGCCTGCCCGTGGTAGAAGTTCGGAGGTTGGGGGCCGCGGGAGGGAGGAGGTTGGGGGAGACAGGAGGTGCTCAGTGGTGCTGCCCTGATGGTGGCACTTCCTCCCTTCCTGCTCCCCTCCCCTCAACGCTAGATCTGTATCAGCCAGGAGGACACGGATGCCCAGCAGGGTAGAGCACTGAGCTTGACTCTGAGGAGGCCTCAGGGCACAGCAGGGGCGTGGAAGCCACCCACACAGAAAAGATCCCAGGGAATGACAAGCAGATTGGAGACAGGGCCCTGGAACAAATATCAGAAATGGCCACCTTTAAGAGATGAATGGGGAGGGCATGTGGGAAGGCGTCTGGAAGGTGGAGAAGCAGATGCAAGGAATCAGATGGAGGGAGAAGGAAGGAGAGTTCAAAGGCATCGGCAGCTCAGGGTGGTGTGTCAGCCACTGGTCTGGAGCCAGAGAGTCATCCCAGCCCCCAAGAATGCCTCTCAGGGGAGAAGGGGCGGACGTCCAAGCAGCAAAGGAGGAGGGAGGGGGGGAGCAGAGGTTGTGGAGCAGGCCACAATACTCAGTGACGGAGGGAAGGCAGCGAGAGAGAAGCAAACAGTAAAGAGCGAGAGGGAAGTGGAAGAAGTCAGTACATCAGGCCCCAGTGAAACGGGAGAGAAGTACGTCACAGCAGGAAACTGACCCTGGCCTGTGCTGGGGGAGCAGGGCTGTGAGCTCTCCCCTCTCTCTGTTATACACACACACTCCACCTTCCATCAGGACTGACCACAGGTGTGCACCTGTCCATCCGCAGAGTGCTGTCTGTCCCGCTTATACTCCATAAACCCAAGTTCATTACAACACAGGATCCTCTCCCCTACTGGTACCCAACCTTTTGAGGGGTATGAAGACTTTCAAAGTTTTGTGGACTACCCCCTGCCTGAGGCCTCAAACACATGATAATGCTTATATTTTTAATATCCATTTGTTAAGAGAACACATAATAATAACAAAGGGCTACCATGAATTCAATCGAACTTTTAAATAACTTGCATTTTATCCATCACTGCGGCAACCACACACACACCAGGAAGAGAGAGGCCAGGGACTGGAGGGTCAGAGCAGGGTAACAGCGCTGCAGCCTCCCAGCTCTGGGTGAAGGCCCGGCCCTTCACACGCCCGGTGCCCAGACCTCTGCCCTGGCATGGAGGGTCAGCCATGGGCACCCCAAGCAGGGCTTGGGGGGATAGAAGGTGAGAGGACATCAAGGTGGTTTTCACTTAGAGTTGCTTACCTAGTGGGGCGGGCCTTCGGGCCCGTGAGGACATCCTGGCCTGGAGGCAAGAGGCTGGGGAGGGAGCCAGGAGTACAGGAGGATGTCCCCTCGGGCACCCCCGCCTTTGGGATGGGCGGGATCACAATGCCCCCCAGGGACTGGTGCATCTCCTGGTCATTGCAGTGCAGGTATTGCCGGGAGATCTGTACCTGGGGGCAGAGGTAGGAAAGGCTCTGGTCCACCCCACCCCCGAGACATCCGCCCCCTGGGCCCTCACACAGGGACGCCACTTCTATCAGGAGCCACCTGGGTGGTGATGCTGGGAAGTGTCCTCCAAGTTCCACATCACCCTGGGACCCCCAGAGAGCTCACTGTCTCCTAACCACTCCAGTGACAAGACTGGGAAGGGCCCCCCACCCCTGCTCAGCCCCTTCTACTGTCATTAATGTTCTCCAGTTCCTCTAGTTTCAGAAAAATCTAAGGACATCAGAGCAGGAGGGGGTCCTCAAAAGCATCTGACCCAAACCTCTCTTTTTATAGATGTGCAAACTGGGGCCCAGAGAGGGCGCTGATGTGGCCAAGGTCACACAGCCAGTGAGGAGCTGAGCAGAAACCAGAGCTCAGTCTCCGGAGGCTGCCCCAGCATCCCTTCCCTTCTGCCACACTTGCCTGAAGTGGGAAGGCTCAGAAGCTTGAGGGATTCTGGAGCATTTAAACCCTAGAAGGCCTGGGGCTACCAAGTGAAGGACCGATGGTCACATAGCCTCAGGAACTTGGGGGCAGCCACCCAGGGCTCCTGAGCCAGGAATAATGGTGTTGGCTGCTGTGGAGAAGATGAGATGAGGGCCCCAAGGCCCTCCAGCGCATCCGCATCCCTGAGACACCTCTGGAGAAGCCTGACGCTCCGGAACAGAGGTTGATAAAGAATGGGAGGAAGGACAGAGGGACAAGAGGCAAGACTCAGAGTAGCCGAGTTTCCTTACCTCCTGGACACTGGGACTCCTCTCCTGGGTCCCCTCGCTGCTCCCAGGCTGGTCCAGGCTCCTCTCTCTGGTCCCGCTGGCCTCAGGGGTGGTCGGGATGCTCTGGATGGGAGGCATCGGCCTGGGCACCCTCAGCAACCTCTGAGGGGCGGCCCGGGGGATGGCGCTCCTCAAGGGAACTCCTTTGGGGCCTCCCCCAGGATCCAGAGAGGCTGTATGGGGTGGGGATGGGAAAGAAGTTAGTCCCAGGAGCTCAGAGAGTGGGGAGTAATTCAGAGGCTGGCCTGGGGTGGGTGGAAGGTGAGTGGGCTGCTCACCTTGGGTAGAGGCTGCCAAGCCCTCCGAGAGCTTTCTTTTCTTGAGCTTGTCCTTGATCTGAGTGGTGTCTCGGGCCACACTGCTGGCCTCTGACTCCAGCGAGGGAAGGGGTACCAGGGAGTGGGGCCCCTGAGACAGGGCCCCGAGGTTCCTGGGGTGGCCGTTCATGGCCTGCCAGCCTTTCAGGGGAGCATCCAGCTTGAGGCTGCCAGGGTCCCCACGCCCATTCAAGAGCTGTGACGGCTTCTCCAGGAGGACGCTGGACATTGGCTGGACGGAGGCTGAGGGGAACAGGGGCGAGAGTGTCTCGGCACACAGAGCCCAGGGTAGCACAGGGCACCAGGAAACTGGCGCTGCCTCGTTGGAACCACCAGCCCGTGAACCCATCACTCAGTGCTTCAGCCATTCCTTGGGTCAATTCATTCATTCACCAGCGTCGAGGAGGCCCCTAACCTGAACAAGACCTGTGTCATGAGGTGACTGGAGGGTGAAAAGGGGAGGCGACATGGAGCCTGTCACAGCACCTAATCTAGGGGCCAAAAACCCTTAGGAAAGGCCTCCTGCCCGAGGGCCACCGCCCACTGATCTCCGGGACTCAGCCGACTCACTCTGAATTCCCGAGCACCAAGCGCCCGACACGACCCAGACACAGATGGAGGAGGGTCCTTCATGCGAATAGAACAAATCAGACTCCCACGCAGACACCTGCTTCTCCAATCACTCCTCCAACAAACACTCAGTGAGCACCTACTGGGTGCCGGTGGTCAGATACAGAGATGTGAAGGCACACTCTTTTTTTTTTAATGGATGTTCTTTTCTTACTATGTTACCATAGACCAAATTATTTGAAGATAATTTATGCTACTATTATGAGACACATAGAGAAGGTACAGCAGAATCTTTGTGAGATTTTAAAATCTTCTGAATCTTCCTCTTTCTTCGGCATTAAAATATTTTAACAATATTGCTCTGAAACATAATTGCTACCTAGTAACTCCCCAGAGTTTTCTCTTCTCTTCAGGATCTTAGAGTGCGTATGATCCCCTTTTAGGATTCCATTTAGCACATCCCTTATGACAGCTTGTGCAGGAATAAAACGCGGTGTAGAATTGCATCTAATTTATATTCCACTTGTGTGAACCACAGCCTCTGTCACTAAAGGGCTTTCAATCTACTAGAGAAACAAGATATGTTCCTAAGCAGCTTCATTACAGGGGAAGATGTGAGACGCGCCGTGGAGAGATAGTCACGAGATGCCTGGCGCACGTGGAGGGAGAGGAGGAGGATCTGGAAAAAAGCTCCAGGAAGTGGAGAGTTTGAACTCGGCCTTGAAGGAGCCTGGACCCTGGTGGGGTCGGGGAGGGGCAGGCAGCACACAAACAGCCCCGCTTGCAGAGTGTCTGTCACGCGCGCAGCTCCTCCCGGAGCACCTTGGGGTCAACTGTGAGACCCTGAGGTCCAGACCACCAGACCCTGGCCAGGTGCTGGCAGCAGACCCCAGGAGAGCTGAACTCGCTGGCAGCACAGGCCTGTAAGGGGACTGTCACCAGTCCAGATTCTCCAGCCAAACACTGGAGCTGCAGGGACAGCAGAGTCTGTCTTCCTGGGGGCTCTTGGGGCTTCCCCTGGTTTTCTAGGAGAGCCAAGCGCAGGCTGAGATCCCCACTGCCCTGTTCCGAGGGTCCCCCTGTGTACACCTCCATCCCCTGAGGCCCAGAATCGAAAGAGCCCACCTAAAACCGAAGGGCATGTTCAGCAGGGACGAGCCCACACCTGCTCTGCAGGCAGCGGCCTGACCAGGCAGCTGCCAGGCGGAGTCCCCCGTTCTCTGCCCAAGGGCCCCAGAGAGGCCGCCCAGGGCACCCGAAAGCCACTTGGTGAGACACCAGCCCAAGTCCTCCAATCTCACCTTCTCCATCAGCCTGCAGACCGGAGTCATGGCTCCCACCTGGGAGTGCGGTGGGGCCGGAGCTGGTCCGAGGGACACTGCCACAGTACACGGCCACCGGAGCCAGCACCTTGGCTGGGGACAGAACGGCAAGGACAGTGGCATCTTAGAGTCCTCCGAGACCAGCCCTGGGGAACAGGCTGCCCTGATCACTCTGCCCCTCCCGCCTCTGCGGCCCACCCCCAGCCCAGCTGGCCAGGGCACCATGTTTCCCCCCAAAGCCCATGACCCCACCCCACCCTTCCCAGCCTCTCGCCTGGCTGCTGCCTCTCCTCACACCCCGTCTGCGTTCTCCTCCTGGCCTGGCTCCAAACCCACCTCCACTGCACCCTTCACAGCCTCCGCATGGGCTCCCTTCCCCCCACCTTGGCCCCCGCACATCTCACAGTAGCTGCTCTCACTGGGCCACAGAGTTATTGTCATACCTTTAACTGTCACCCTGACGTAGTAACCCCTGAAGCTGTCTTTCGCTCTGACCCCTGACCCCAGCGGCTGGGCAGAGCAACCCATTACCTGCTCTACTGCCCTCTCCTGGGGAGCTGGAGCACCTCCTCGGGGGTCCTGCACGGACCCTCCCCTTCTCTCCTAAGCTCCCCACTCAGCAGCCGGCACTGTGGACCCCACTGCACACGCTTGTTAGCAGCTCCTCCGTCAGGCCCTCGGCCCCCCACAGTCCCTGGGGATACCACACAGGCAAGGCTGACTCAGTCCTCAGTGGCACTAGATGTCTGGAGCGGGGACCATAGGAACCAGCGATGGCAGTGTGGGGGCTGGGAGCCCCCTGGGGCAGGACCCCTGAGCTGAGAGTCAGATCGACAGGAGGGGAGACTCAGCTCAGCGCAGGCTCCGTTGGGAAGCCCTGCGTCTCCTCTGTGCTCCCACAGCATCCAGAACCCCTCCATCTTGGATTCTGCCCTCCTCGCCTCTCCCCGCCTGGCCCTGCAGTGTCCTTACTCATCTGTGTAGTGCCCGAGCCCAGTGGGCACTTATATGTTTGCAAACTGAACTGAAGGTCCTGCCCCTTCATGACTCAGCCCCTCCCACACACACCTGGGGACCACAGATGGGGCCCTAACCCACCACCCTGAGAAGCCCTCACAAAGGCGAAAACCCAGCACCCCCCCCCCAGGGTGCAAGCTCCCTAAAGCAGGAGTCAGGGGTCCAGGCGCCCATCCTGATTCTGTCCCCAGTGTGCCATTGGGGAAATAAGTTAACCTCTGTGAGCCTTGGTTCCCAGATCAGTAAGACAAGAGCACTGGACAGAGCACAGGGGTTCTTACAATCACATCTTCATTCTATTTCTAGACTTCTAGAGTTTTCCGAAGCCTTCAGCACCTCCTACTTCCCCACAACAAACCAGTGTTGGCCAGACCTGGCATAGTACTAAGTTAAGCAGTTGTTTCGATGTGTTGAAGCCCCAGAGCACTCTGCCCCGAGCTCAGTGAGCCCTTCATTCCCTGAACCAACTCCAGCATTTGGGGTCCCCCGCACTCCCCTCAAGTGGGCACCTGGACTCCGCACCAGCCTCTCCAGGGAATAGCGGCTCTTCACCTCACAAGCACCCGCTCCATCGGGGTAGGACCGGTTGACCCCTCACTCTCCAGGGGAAACTGAGGCTCGCACAGCCTGCTCCCAGAGGCAGTGCCAGGCCTGGAACCCATCTCCTGACACCAGGCCAGACACACAGTTCCCACTGTCCTATCTTGTCATCTGAGGACATGCGGACACACAGCCGCCCCCCTGCTGAGGGCCCCAGCCCACGTCCTCTGCCCCATCTGAATTCTCCCACCACAGAAGGGGCAGCTGCTCGGCCAGCCCACCAGCTCAGAGAGGAGACAGCTCTGGCCGACTCCCCAGAACATTCCAAGCATCTCCCCGGGCCTGGGAGCCCTCAGACAGAGAGCCCAGCTGAGCCAGAGGGCCTGTGTTAGCCCATGGAGAGCCGGCCATGCTGGGAGGCCCTGCCCCCCGGCTACCTCTCCCCAGCAGAGCCCGGTCCCCAGGAGAGTCCGAGGAAGACCCTGACCCACGGCCTCCGCCGATGACTCTCACCTGGGGGCGCAGCATCACGGTTGCCCATGCCTTGTGTGGAGAAGGTGCCTGGGAGGCTGTCCAGAGCCAGCAGCTACTTTCTGGCTGAAAGTACAGCTCTCAAGGGCCCCAACGTGCAAACATCAGGGACTGCTGGTAGGGAGGGACAGAGAGAAGTCGGGGACACAGATAACAAGTGCTTTTTAAACCCTTCCTGGAGAGCCTGTCAGGAGCTAAGTAAAGCATTCTGTAGTAAAATATGCCACTGGGCCAGAGGACAGTTCTTTTCTGACATCTGGTCTCTCTGAACACTTCAAAATTTCCAACTGCCAAGGTCAAGTGCCTGTGGGCAGACGCCTTCATGAAGGGCGTCAAGGAGACCCACACATCTGGCTTTGACGCAGGTGCCTTGGGGCGTCAGGGACGGAGGGATCTGTCAGGGGGCGGAGACTTCATCTCTGTCAGTTTATTTCCTGCAGAAACTGTTACTCCTCCAGATGCCCCGGGGAGCCCACCATGCATGTTGACCTCTGCAACCCCAATCACCACCCGGGCATCTGGCGGCATCTCCCAGGACCCAGATCTCTAGCTTCTTCCAGGGCGTGCCTGCCCTCCTCCTCACCTCGCTGCCAAGCCAAGCCTTGACCCCTCCGAGCCTCCCTTAAACCTCCGGGGCCAGCCATCAGCTTTCCTCGTCAACCTAACTTCACTCTCCACCTGACAAGGGTCTCAGTGCTGACTCTGTGCAATTTCATAAATGTCATAAATTCTTCGCAGAGATGAGCACTTTTCCCCTGACAGGTAGGGAGATGGGTGGCCAGGGCTGATCAGTGACAAAATCAGGGGTAAAGGCCACATCTACACCTCAAAGGCCACCAATTTCTACTCGAGGGTAGCTCCCTCGAGTGTCATCTGGGGACGGGGCAGGATGCAGTGCCAACTCCCTTTGGCTGAGCAAGAAATCCCAACTTGGGAACTGAGAGAACCTGCCCTCGGGCTGGGAACCAGCCCCACCCAGGCCCCAGGGGACGGAGCAGCTCCTGGCAACCTTCTGGCCAAACAGAGGCACCAGCCCAGCCGGTTCCTGGTCTCAGAGCTTAGGACTTCCAGCTGCTCAGGTTCTCTATCTGCAGGGAGTTTTCCTCACAGTGAGGGTGGGGCGCAGGGGGCGACAGCTCCCTGTCTGCTAAGGGAGAAGGAGTTGGCTGCACCACGGTGACAAGCAGACAGCAATGGCAAACAATGGCACGTCTCCCAAGCAAGGTGGCAGAAGATTCTGGTCTGCAGGTTCCAACATCTGCCCCTCACCCCAGGGGGCTAGGAAAGAGACAGGAAATGGGTAAGGCAGCTGCCTGCTTCTGGCAGAGGCCAGTAGGAATGTTCCCAAAGAGGACAGACCTTCCACAGCAGAATTTAAACAAATGAGCTGGAGCCCCAGCTTTGGGGAGAGGGGCAGACTTCCTATGCAAATTACATGCAGACAAGCGATATTTAGCTACAGCTCTTGTTTCAGCTCAGAATCGCCTGGGGACTGATTAAAATGACCAATTCCAAGGCCCAACCTCAGGCTCGTATTGAATTAGTCTTCCAGGGAGCAGGCCACAGGGGTCTGCTTGGTTATTTCCCTTCACTGTTGCGTGATCTTGATGGTCAAAGAGGACAGAGAGACCCTAGGCGGCACAGTTAAGATTCATGTCATAATACAGCCCCTGCCCTATTTCTCACCTTCCACTGTCAAAGTGGCTATTTCTGCCTCAGTTTCCCCAAAGTGACCACTCTCCAGAAGGCTAAAGAAGAGGGTGGGGCTGCCGGAGGAGAGCACAGAGAGCATGAGCTTCAGTGGCCCCTCGATGGCAAAAGGCCTTTCGAACAAGACTGTCCCCCACCCCGCCCAGCACAAACTTCTCCGAGGGCAGAATAGCCACCAGCCAAGAGCCCGCACCACCCCACGCCCTGAGGGACACTAGCGGTACAGGAAGGAAACCTGGGTCCCCTGCACAGCCTGCCAAGGCAACCCAGCAGGCAGAGCCACGTGTAGGCCTGCCCCTGCCTGGGTCTCTCCCTTTGACCTCTCAGCCCTCAAGGTCTAAAGTGCAGGATCTCCTGGGCACCTGCCCGAGGGGAGGCGGCTGGACAAACAGCCATCTCCGATGTCTTACGTGAGAGCACCTCCCAGGAAGTCACTCAGGCCGAGGCCCTGGTTGGAACTGGTAGATCCTCGTCCAAACTATAAAAACTAGAATCAGAAATTCCAGCCCAGAGGTAGACAAAGCCCTGGGGTTTAGTATGGTCAGCACCTAATGCCTGAGCCCCAAGGCACAGTCTACTAAGCCCCCATTTGCACCCAGCACCCTTCTGGGAACCCAGAAATGCTGTTCCCTATTGGAAGAGCCAGGCGCTGACCACAAGGGCTAACAACAGGGGGTCTGGGGACCAGGGCTCTGTCCTCACTCCCCGATGCTCTGGATTGCCCAAGCTGGGTGGGCCCTCCACTCTCGGCCTCAGTTTTCCAGCTCAGGGAACGGGGTGGCCAGAAGTAACTGAATGCTGTCCACTCCTTCCACTACAGTGTTGGCTACAGAGGTCCCATGGTGACCAGTACCACAGGAATGAAGAAAGGTGACAGAAGGAACTCAGGTTTCAAGTGGAGAGAAGATGAAAACTAGGACTGGCCCAGTCAAAAATGCCAGCCCCAAGGACAAAATCCCAACCACCCCAGTGCCTTGCACAGCCCATAGGGAGCAGGGCCTTGCCACACTGTGCTCCCCAGGTCGCTGGCAGAGTCCGCCCTGAGAGACCAGCTCTCTGACAGGAGGGCGAGGGCAAGGCTCTGAGGAGGGAACAAGGGTCAGGCCCTGGAGGGCAGGAGGAGAAAGGCCCTGGTCCTGAGCCCCACCTGCCCCCCCAGGGCCGCTGCACCCATAGCTTCTCTTCATGTGGGGGTGACGCTGCCCACCTCTCCTGCAGAGACCTCTGAGTGACATGCGCTCCAGAAAGTCAGGGTTCTCCTCTCTCAGACGTGTCTGGTGGGAACCACAGTGCCCATACCAAGGTGAGAGAGAAAAGGAGGCAAAAATGAGCACAACTAATAAACCTGATTTTTGAACCCAAAAATATGTCCCCCATGGAAATACCCTCTGGAGAGGGGCTCAGATCCAGGCTCCACTCCCATCCCACACACCTGGCTCCTGAAGGGCCCCCCTGGACTCCTAGAACTTCGGCTTTGGGGTTGGATGGCTGGGTTGGATGCCTGCCTCTGCCCTTCTTGTATTAACTTGGGAGATTTATGCAATTTCTCTTTGGTTTCTTCATCTGAAAAGAAAAAGAGCCTTAATAAAGGACAATCATTAGAATTACATAGTCATATATAAAAATAATTTAGGGCCATCACTGGTGCAGAGAAGTTGCTCATCCATCTCCCCACACACACGGTCACACTCGCCCGTGAGCCCCAGTCCATGAGGAGATCCAGCCACGAATGGCCCACAGTGAGGACGGCAGGGAGCAGGGAGCAGGGAGGCCGGGGCCTGGGTGCCGGGAAAGCCGAGGGAGTGGATGGTGTCCAGAAGTGTCAGCTCAGCGGAGAGGCTGGGTGGGGGAAGGACTGGGAAGGGCCCATTGAATGTGACCACTAGGGGTCATCCAGAAGGTCAGTGATGACCTCTGGATGGTCAGTGATAGACCTCTCGGTCTATGCCCGAGAGGACACAGAGGTCAGAGAAAGTTGCTGTTGGCAGAGAGTGGAAGGTCAGGAAGCAGGGACAGCGAGCACAGACCACTCTGGAAAGGCCGGAAAAGAGAAGGAGGAGAGACTGGGTGGTGGCTGGAGAGGAACAAGGGGCGGGTGAAATTCGTGTTATTTGTGTTTGTTCTGTGTGTGTGTGTGTGTGTGTGTGTGTGTGTAAGGAGAGGAATTGCTAGAGCATATTCACTGGAGGACAGCAGAGCCTGGAAAAGGGAAAGGCTGCAGATGTGCAAGGAGAGGGGCGCTGATGGAGCAGGATCCCAGAGCCAACAGGTGGGGCGGAGAAAAGGGCGCCGGCGCAGGCAGGGGGTCGCCCGGCGGGGGAGGGCACCCGTGGCCATGGAGAGGAGGGCAGCCCGGGTGGGGGCGTCCAGAGGGAGCGGGCAGGGAGGCGACAAAGGCCAGGCCGGAAAGCCGTGATATGGTCCGTGAAGCAGGAGGCAAGACTGCTGGGCTCAGATGGGCGAAGTTCAGAACGAGGTGCATTCTGACCCCAGAAAAAACAAGCGATTCTATTCCTTTTCCCACCCAGCCCCAGCCTCCTGCCTCTATTTTGTCAGCCTGGGGCAGATCTGGTTTCCTCCCTTCTTCCTCCCAAATCCAGGAGACGGGTACCCATCCCCCCAAACGCTCTGTGGTGGGGGGGCATGCCCAGGGGCCCCCACTCAGCCTCCAGCCGTGGCCGGCACAGGCGGCAGGAAGGCAGTGTGCCAAGGAGCCTGCCCTCCACCAAGGAGCCTGCCCTCCACTGTGCTTGCCTGGGCCTGTGGCCAGCCCTGGAGACACAGCCACAAGTGTCGGCTGCCACCGTCTCCCCTGCCTTGGGACCAACAGGATCAGACAGGGCGGGGGGCCCCCAACCCCCCTCCCCGACCTTCTGCGAGCACTCTGCCCTCCAGACAGTGGGAGGCACAGCCCAGTTCACAGCCCCGGGGAATTTAAAGGAACACAGCCTGAGGGCCGACGTGGTACCAGCACACAGTGTACCTCAACAACCATGTGTGGCATGAATGAAGAAAGAAATCGAGATCAAGCCACACCTCTCCAGACTGTCTTGTAGGGAAGAAGCTAAGTAAGGGGAACGAACGTTTCTTAGTTCTGCGGTGCTGTGTGCCAGGCACTGAGCCAGGCGCTGCCACCAGTATGCCATTGAAATGCAGCAACAAGGCCGAGAGGGTTGCCCTCGTTTTATGCATTAGAAGATTAAGGCTCAGAGAGGTTAGGTAACTAGGTCAAGGCCACAGAGCTACCAAGCGGAAGCCTCCTGGCTGATGGTCTCTGTTCTCAGTGGTAAAACAGTATTTTAGAGCCTGTGCTTAGAAACCAACAGACTTGGACTGACGGCCATCGCCTGCTGGCCAAGTGATTCCACACGGCGAACCTTCCCCGAGCACATGGCACATCACGAAACTTGCCCAAGCCTTTATTTAACTGCAAAGTGGAAATAACGTCTATGTCACAAGGCTATCGAGAGTATTCAGTGAAATATGAAAAGCATCGAATACTATGTCCAGCCGCTAGCAAGTCCTCAATAATCAGTGGCTCTTAGTGCTATTGTTCGTTTCATACCTATTCCACCCTGTGTGTTCAGATGTCCAAGGAGAGGGAAAATTTCCTTTCTGAAAGCCTCTGGGGCAAGAAGCTCCGGAGGCCTGGCTGAGGCTGGGTGGCTGACTGGAGGAGCCACCCCTGGGGGCAGGTTACTTCTCACTGGGTACACTTCCTGGGGTGAGCAGACAGGCTTGGCCAGACACAGGGGAGCAGGTCAAGTACCGCCTGGCTGGGGAACAACCCAAGAAATTGCCTTTCATCTTTAGCGCCC